AAAGCATTTTTGGGCTTTGCTTTCGTCTTTCGTCTTTCGTCGACGCCTGTTGGCATTTAAATTAAGTTCTTCATTGGGGGATGGGGAGGAGAGCGAAAAGAGGAATGGGATTTGGCCAGGCCATATAATTTTTGGAGTACAGGTAACGTCTGTTTGCATTTAATTAAATGCCAATATTTGAATCAATTTGCATTCAATGTAAAAAATGTACGGCATGGCGACTAATCAACTCTGGTTTAACATTTCTTCGAATTGACTCGGCTTATTTGTATTCTATTAACTTGGCCATTGACAAAGTTATTTACTCGAGTGTTGCGACAGCAGAATGCGGTATTGACTACATGGTCACAAGCTAACAAAAATCCATGCCAAACTAAGCCAACAATTTCATTTTGGCTCCGACAACATTTCCTTAATTAAATTTAGTTCACTTATATTCTGAGTTGCAGTTTTTCAACTTTGTTTTTAAATATTTGTTGTGTTTTATAGCATATTTGCAGTATATTTTATTAAAATTTCATTTCATAATAATATCGATCCGGGAAAATCAAATTGCAGGCTCCTTGCTGACTAATTATTTGCATATATGTATGTATTATATCTGAAATTCTACTTTTTCTGTGTGTGCGCAAAATCCCAATCAATTATTTATTGCATATTTCCCTCCATTTGAGTAAAAATAATCGTTATTTTATTGGATATGCGGCATATTTTGATTTGATTAAAAGTGAACAATTTTGACAAGTTAACGTTCATATATTACAATACATTTCAGTTGAGTTTATGGCTTACTTCCAGGTATACAGGACCTATCAATACCGTGCACTAAATATTTGCTATAAAAGAACATAATCTCAACTGTTCTTTTTTCAAATATATCTAATATAATAAGTTAGACTTGTACCCTGTTACAGGGTACATTCCAATCGAGCACTTTTGCCGAGATCAAATTCAGTTGGTAATTTATGTAAATAAATCGCAAAACACTTTAATTAAGTTTACAAGTAACATTCACATAAATGTTTACGCATATGGACATAGGCAAAAGAGGTGTTAATTTGTATAAATGTTTTTTTGTTAAGCCCATCATTTATTGAATTTGGAATTGTTGTTATTGCCGCGATAAGATAATAATAATGATAATCAAACAACATGTTTAAGCATTTATTGGTTTGCGGCAACATAATTTAATTATGTTGATTTTAATGCATTAATGACTGATTTATTTACACGTTCGGCAATGAATTAAAAAATACAACTGCATGCCAAATGTAATCCACACAAATTGCTGGCAAATAAATAAAGTTTTTTTTTTGTACCATTAATCAGAGTTTGTTTATTAACTGAACAACCTGTGCCAATGAATTATACAATAGTTTTTGTTACCAAACTTTTTCAGCTGGAAACACCTGCTGGCTCAATCAGCAGCTGAAATACCCTGCCAATAGATTGGTAATTCGGTTTAAATATTCATTGCATTCCACATGCAAATTATTGTGTATAACATAACTTTGTTTAAGAAACTAGAGGTTCTTCAACACCAGTACTTAAAGAGCAACATTCGGTCAACAAAACATGCCTAACATAAATTGCGAATACGCAGTGTGGAAAAAGTAATTGATTGCAAAGTGAGGAAGAGAGGCGTGAGGAGTGAAAGAAATTCAACACACAAAATATCCGTACTCAACTGTGAATAACTTGGTTGGTCTTTTGCTTAAGTTTGATTTGGCAGTTGAGCATGGCATGTGCTTTGTTGTGGCCTGCTGAGCACAGGTCAATGCTTTGGCATTTCTTGAATAAAGCCATTGGCTTTGCTTATGAAATAATATGCTTACCGCAAGCGTTTGCTGTGGCTTATTTTGCCAATACGAGCATAGCACAAGGCGCATCACTCCAATCAGTCCCCCGATCCCATTGCCAATCGGCTCCAATATTGAATCGCTGCTGCTGCTGCTGCTGCTGCTGCTGCATTTGAGCGCTAGATAAATTCTTTACAAGCTGTGACGAAATTCGTGCGAACGTGTCTCAATAACGAAATTAACAGAAATTGCAACATATTGTTGCATGTGGTCGAGCTGTGGGGCAGTCTGTGTGTGTGTGTGTGTGTGTGTGTGTGTGTGTGTGTGTGTGTATCTATGTGGTTTCAGTACGTGTGTGGTCTGTCTGCACCACAACAAATTGTAAGAAAAATCAACGTGACGGTCAGCAAGTGTGCCACGAAGAGGCAGCTCCAAAAACTTTTTTGCCAACTGTCAATGGCAACAAAGTCCTCATGCGAATTGCTGTTCTTGTTTTTTCATTAACAAACCAATATACTAGTAACAAATGGCTACTATTTTTATCAAGTATGCCTTAGAACTTGATTCAATATGGTTTGAATATGAATTTGAGATCTTACCAATATCATCATTAGCAACTTTAATACTATTAACCAAAGGCTAAAAGGATATGATCAAAACGGGTCTGCAAAAAACACTTAAATTTGTTTAGTATTAAATTCGAAATTAATTTAAAAACGATAGTCACACAATTAAATCGTCTTAAAGAGCCGCTAATCTGGCAAACAAAATCAGTTTCGAGCCTTTAACTCAATCTGTCAATCATGCTCGGAATAGCTGACATTTCTGGCAGTGTAATGAACCCACAATCAAAAACTTGAAATGCAACTTGTGCACAATGCGGCACAGCTTAAGCTCCACAGCAAACAGGCAACAGCGGCAACAACAAAAATGCTTAATGAAGCGACTGCCTGCCCCAGAGCATAGCAACAGCAACAGCAATACCAACAAAAATGACAAAAGGGTCACAGTCAGTGTGGCAACTGTTGCCCACCCAAACTCAAACCGTTGACGGAACTCGTTTTACGCCCATTCACACTGACAGACAGCGATGAAATCGTGGCTAAAATAGGATGGGGGTGGGGTATACAACACATGTGGCCAACAGCAGCGCCAAAAACTGGGAGCATCCCATTGAATAACATAGAAAAATAGAAATAGCAAAAGCGTACGTGCAAAAATTTGTGCGCTTGATTAAATTTGGAGTCGCCAAATGGTAGAAAGCCAAAAGGCGACTCCGTGACCAGTGGTAAGTGCCACAAGTGTGAGCCAAGTTGAAAGACAATCAGGCGGCAATTTAAAACCATTTGCACTGCGGCCAACCAGCCACTCCCCCAGCACCCAGCCCACCGCTCCACACTCCACACGACCAGCAAGCTGCCACCTGCTGCGGCAGTCAGTCAGGCAGCTGAAACAGTTGCAGTAACTTCTGCTCGATTAGTTTTGATTTGGTTATTCGGTATTAGGCAATATGCTTTTCACTTTACCCAATTTCTTTCATTTTCCTTGTTGTTGAATCTCTCTCCATCCCCCCCCCCTTCCTTCCCCACCCTTGGTCCGGAAAAATAAACTAATTTCCAGTGCTTCAAGTGAACCAGCTGCTATCAAGTTGTTCCTTGCACATTTGGCACATGCTACAGAAATATACAGAAAACAAGTAAAAACAAGTTTAAACATAAAAGTTTTTCATACATGAGCTTATCTCTCGACCGATCTGCCGATTCCATGGCAGCTATTTGATATAGTGATTACTTCCAGCTGATAAATGTACTACCTGCCAAAAAACAGACAGACTGAGGGACAAGTTAACATAGAAATAGACGTTATATCGATTGTATAATGCTGATCAAGAATATATATCTGACCTAGCTTAAATTGCATTAAAAAATTGATTGCTTTTGAAAATCGAACTTTTGGAAAATGTCAAATACAACAAAATTATGGCTATTGTTAGACACGACTTAGTTGCCATACTTAATGGCTGCACAATTATATAAACAATAGCAAACAAAATATAGACTACGATTCACGCCACTAATTTGAATTCGACATGTTCAGTCACATGTTGGTCACACATGGCGCATACTTAATACAAGTCAGTGTCACGTTTTTTGACTACAATATATCAAATCAAATCAACAAATTGGTGTATTGTGCATTATGTGGCTGGTGAAGCACAGAACGAACTGTTTCACATTACATTTGTTTACTTAAATGTTGGTCATGGATTAAGACATTAAAGTGACCTGTGCTTGCATCGCCAGAGCAGTGCCAAGGAAGAACCAAATGGCAACGTGGTCCGTCCACGTGCCCGTTAGCACCTCTATAATTTGACATAAAACCAGAGCCGGAGCGAGAGCCAACCGCAGATCGTTTGTCGCGCGTGTTCTTTGTACCTGAATAAAAGGCATTACACTTCCGCTAAATGTCGCTATTATTTAACCATTTTTGCTTATGTATGCTACCCATGCAGACGCCTCAACTCACCAATTTTGCTGCTTCGACTCCCCTTGCATATAGTAGACCCTATATGAAAATATAATTTATGGTTACTCAGACGACTACGCCAAAAGGGGGAAGAAAACTAAATTGTCGTCATCGTCAGCGTCAGCGTCGTCGGTCGTCGTCGTTGTCGTTGTCGTCTTTGTCGTTGTTCCTGTTGTTCGAGTCGAAACAAAAAGTAGGAAAACAATTACAGCTGACTTAACACTTCCGTTGCTTGTTGAGAAAAGCCGCACACGTTTATCCTCTACGTTGGCGGCATGGGCGTGGCACTGTGGCAGTGTGAGAGACGTTAACGCACTGCCCCCGTCAAGCACTTGAAATTGTAATTTAACACGTACACAATACACCTTTGTAGTCGAGCTAAATTCTTAAGTAGATGCCCATTTCAAGGGGCAAGGCAGGCACCACTGAATTGTTGACCCTGTTGCGATGGGTCGCAATGCGATTACATTTTAGATTGGGGTTGCTTTGCGCAACAATTTGTTAAAGAGTGTATTTTAAATCAACTCTAACCTTATTGCAAGTTTTTAAGATCGACGCGATTCGTCACAGATGTGTTTCCAAAAATGGATTCGTACTATATTTTACACAATGCAGAAGTTGATCAATAAAAATGTTTTAAACTAACAAAATTCCCAAGAATAAAAGTAAAGAAATTCAATATTTGAATTGTATAACATTTTATTGGTTTCATTGCGTTTAAAAATCAAATGTCAAAATGAACTCGCAATTAAAATTCTCCAAAAATATTCGCTGAATAATTATATAAAGCACCTTAACGAAATATAACTAATGTTATGGTTTGATTTGTGTGACTTACAACTAAAGTGTTCACATTGCAAACGACAGCAGTATGCCGAGGTCGTTTTTCAAATATCGATCGATTCAATACCGCTTCGATCTCATAGATCAAAGCAATTGCTGTTTTCACTTGTTTAAATGAGGTGCAGGAAATAAATAAGAACAATAAATATTTGTCAAAAATGTGGGAGTTGATGAAGTAGCTAAACACAATAATAAAGTTCGGACTTAAAAAAAAAAAAAAGTGATTCGAAATTTTTTAAAAAATGCATACACAGTTGGCTGTCAAAAACAATTTTGGATTATTAATTAACAGACTTTTAAAAAGCTGTTGCTACATTTTTTTGGTTATCTAAATAGAATTAGATATTAGAATAAATTCAAGAATGAGTTTTTAACCGTAGAATAAATAAGAAATTAATTGAAATTAAATTCATGACGATTCTTGTGGCGAATTTAGTTAACGGCATTTGTGTAAATTTCGTTTAACTAACTGCTAATATACATTGGTTCATAAGTCTAATAATGTTTTGAATATTTCGAATAAGAACAAGCCAATAAGCTACGTATCTGATAGGAGATGAAAGTCAGTTGCTGCCACGCCTTTTTCAAAGGTGCGAACACAAAATTGGCAAAAGGCAAACGGATTTGCTGCTTCACTTATGCAAATTGCTTTTCAATTTCTTAGGAGCTAATGCGAAACCTATGAATACGTTAAATGATTAAAATTATTTTAAATTCATTACTGTGTGCATAGTTTATGCGTTGATTTACGTTGATTGGCATTGTAAATATTTTTGCTTAAAGTTGATGGCATTGTTCACTATGTTTCCTCTTCCAATTTGTTCATTCGAGATACGATTTGTAACATTAGTTTTTGAGATACACAACTCGAGAAGTGTTTTCTGCTATGGGCTGTAAGCAGTCTAAATTAAAACCTGAAGCATTGTTTGGGCAAGGCTTAGATATAACTGGGCGGCATGAACTATGTTGGGGCGTGGCTGCAACTCACTTCGGTGACTCCGGCGGCGCATTGGCGTTGCCAAAGAGCTCATCGTACGAGGGAGCTGCACGCGAGCAACACAAAAAACAGAGAAAAGTTAGAAATTTCAGAGAAAAAAGAAGGTGAGCCAATTTACTTACGCAATGCGTGTGCGCCGGCGGATTGGCGTGTCTGCCTAAGCGATCCGGACGCCGCTGAGGTGGATGGCAATTGGCTGTAGCCGGCACCAACTGGAGCCTGTGCTGCCGTTGACGACGTTCCCGTTGCCGTTGTCGGTGGGGGGAGTGGAGGCAGAGCGAGCAGCGTATATTGCGGCGAATCGGGCAACGGGTACGGTGGTAGATGTGGCGGTGGATACGATTGCACCATCAGTGGGCTGGACGAATAAGGCATGTAGGGCACGTTACAGTTGCTACGCAGGCTGGCCCTAGCCGAGGGGCTGCCAAACTGCGAGGACTGCGAGTCCGATGTGTAGGAAGTGTAGGACAGCTCAACACCACCAACAGCCGGGCTCAGTGTGGAGTCCGATGTGGTGGAGTTCAGGGAACTGCATTCGCTGTACTGCGACGAATGCGATGGCGAGCCAATGGAAGAGTCTAGCGCTGGATAGACAGACAGTGCAGCTGACGGCTCAAATGGATTGCCTGGCGCAACGCTGGCGGCGGCATCGTCCGGACCAGGTGGTCCATCGTCGGGTCGGGGCGGCAGCGATGGTCGCATCGAGCCCAGCCTGGCGGACACATCCTGCGAATAGACCTTGAACGGCAAATTAAGCACCAGATTCTTGAAGAAGCCCCGCAGCACGGCCTCAACGCGCAGCTCATAGGATATGGTTATGATGCCACTGTACTCCTCGTCCGTCGGCTGCGCCGTGTCCGGCATGAGCAGCTCGTGGGCAAAGCTGCGTTCGCTCTTCTTCGCCACGGCGCCCGTCTCCTTATTGGCAATCGCAATGCACTCGACCTTCTGCACACGCAACGGGACGTGGCTGTAGTAGGTGATGTACTGCAAAATGCTAAGCAGACAACGGTATGCATTTTAATGGGGCAAATTATAAATTAACTACTCATTGTGCAATAACTCTTGCCTCAAAGACTTAGACTGGCAACATATTAAGCAAGCGGATAGTCGCATTCTGAATTGACTTCTTGCTAACAAATTACATTTTTAAAAGAAATCGGTCATTCGGTGTTTCATTTCATTAGTAAATTAATATATTCCGTTAGCTAAATATTATATTGCAGTCAGCTCTTATTAGTGATGTCAACTGCAAGCTGTTTAATTTATTATTGCTATTATATATAATTAATAATATTTTTCAATTGTCAATTGTCTAATTTTTTAAGTTGGCAACGCTGCCATTTCCGTCTCAAATATTTGTAGACTGAAATTTAAAGTAGTGTAATATTTTTAGGTTGACAATGATGTAATTTTCGTCAATTGTCAATTATCTAATTTATTAAGTTGGCAACGCCGCCATTTCCGCCAATTTCAATTGTAAATAGTCTTATTTTGAAAGATGGCAACGCTGCCATTTCCGTCTCAAATATTTGTGCACTGTCTCATTTTTTATGTTGGTAACTCTGCCACTTCAGTCTCAAATACTTGTCACTTGTCAACATTTTTAAGTTGGTCAGAGTTGCGTCTCAAATATTGGTCAATTAGCTGATTTTGCAAGTTGGCAGCTCTCAAAAGAGCGTTAAGCCGGGTTGAATACAATTCGATGACTTACTTGAAGCGCAGTTTCTCCACATTGGTTGTGCTGTTGTTGACAACTGTAACACAGATGCGCAACGGTTCGCCGCGCACTGCAAAATCCTCGGGCAGCAGGGCCAACATTGTGATTGGTCGTGTGCCAAAAAGGCTAATTGTCTTCGTAATTTGCTTCTCCAGCGGTGTGGGATTGCTGCGATAGGTCGCTGGCAGTGGCATGTTCTTTACAACCGTAAAGGGGATCGTGTGTCGCTGGTCAAAGGTCCAGGGTCGTTGAATGAGGATGCGCATCTTGTATTTGATGCTGCCGTAGCTGCCCCGGAAGCTGGAGGGCAGCTGGTGGCCGAGTGCCACATTGAAGGTGAATGTGTGCTCGCCGGGTGACAACTCTAGGCCGCGAGGCTCGAATTCTGGGAGCGGAGTTTCGCTGTGCTCGTAAATCTCTTTGCTCGTGTAGAATAGGCTGCGTGTGTACTCATTGTTGTTGGAGTTCTTTCGCAGGATTTCCATCCATTTGCATTTGCCTTTGCCAGTTACCTGAATTTTAATAGCTGCAACATAAAACAATGCAACATAAATGAAATGTGTGAAAATGTTTTTAAGTTTGAATTTTAGCACGGCCGCCCCCTAGCGGTACATTTGTGTATTACAATCGTAACCAATCTAATTCAACGGTTTGTGTCTTGGTTATCAATATACTGCTCATATTGAAACTTTTTAGCACTATCGCAAATAATTTGTTGTCCACATCCAAATATCGATAACAATCGCATAGCTGAATTTAACACGATACCAGTGTTGCCGCATTATAGTCAAATAGAAAACACGACTTTTTTCCTGCTGGTTTTGTGGAAGATATCAAGAAACTTAAATTAAATTGTCGGCGCTGCATTAGGCAAGTAAATGTTGCAAACACAAGTGCAAATCATGCGCTACACCTAGCCATATCCAAGACAATTGCGGCGCAGCGCAGCCAAACGTATTTATTGAGTTTTGGGCGAGCCGCAAGTTTTCTCTCTATTCGTGAACATCTATATTTTTTTTTGCTGTTGCCCCACAGGACGACGCCAGACAGTGAAAATTGCAATGGAATTGGAGGAATAAGAGACCAAATAAAAATGAATGCCAATTATATATCACGCGCCCTGTGCTACCACGGCCAGCCATTGCAAAAGATCTGGGAAGATGAGCGGGGCATCGAGGATTTGCGACGACTGAACTTGACGCAGCCAAACTACAGCGTCTACCAGGAACGACAGAAATATTTCACATTTCAGGAGCGGGCGAAACGATTGAAAATCCACCAGTTTCTGGCACGCAAAGCCAGCGATTTGTACGACCGGCAGCTGGTGGGCAACGTTATGGAGGAATCGTGGCTGACACAAATGAGCAACTGCATCGCACCCCAGCCCCCGATGGAGTTCTATCTGTGTGTCAAGGATAAACGCAAGGCGTACGCCTTTCGAATCGGCGCCCTCAAACAAGGCGACATCGTCTTTGCCACCGTGCAGAAGGTAATGTCGAATGCGAATCGGATCGTCGTGAAACCACTGTGCACGGCGGAACCTTTACACTTCTATCTGGCTGATATACCCATTAAGGTTTGCTCAACGCTTAACTAGTTGATACACAATATGTAAACTTGTTCTAATCGATGCATTTTACTGTTTAGGCAATCATTTTGCAGGAGCAGTGGGGTCCACTGCCACTGGACAAACAGGGCTCTCCACGCACATTCGCCATCAATGATTTTATACGTTGTGAAGTGTGCAGCGTGTCCGCAGACGTGGAACGCTTAACCCTTGGCATGTTGGGTCTGTACAATAAGAATCCCGACGTTAAGCTGGGTCTATGCGATCTGAGTGATTTCCCCAACTACTATCGGTATGTGATTATAAAATTCAGAGTCAAGAATTGCTTTAGCAAATAATAAACGCTTAGCTCAATACACAATGTGGATCCAGCGTCGGCACCGCACTATGAGGATCAGTTAAATGCGGCCTTGGAGCTGGAGAATCCCAACTGTGATGTGCTCTTTCAGCTAAACGGTCTGCAGCCCAACGAGAACTTAACGCTGATGAGCAGCATCAAAGCTGGCTTCCCGGAGTCCGACTATGCGCCGGAGCTGCGACAGAAACAGGCCTCACAATGGGCATTTCGGTAAGTTTACATTTTGCAATCTTCCAATCAAGGCTGGTCGCTTCGGATCAGCTAAGAGCTAGCGAACTGATAACAAAGTTTATGTGAGACAATCAAGGATCACTTTGAACCTTTTGTTAATTGAGCGGCCAGTCGTGAATGGGACACTTTAGTTGCTAAGATATTCATTCACATATGTATAACTGTCCACATATATATTATATATATATGTATATATTGTATATACTGTATATATATATGTATATCCATTGCACAACACTCACGAAACCAAACAGCTCCGTGGCTGACGGCATTGAGCACTTTAAGAATGGCCAACAAGTTGAGGCCTTTCAGTGCCTGAACAAGGCCTTAAACATTGATCCGCGCAATGTCGAGGGTTTGGTGGCGCGCGGTGCGCTATACGCGAATCGGGGCAGTTTCTTGAAGGGTCTGAAAGACTTTGAAAAGGCGCTAATGTTGAATAAGTACCATGTGAATGCGCGTAAATATATGGGCGAGACCCTGGTGGCGCTTGGACGCAGCTATGAGGAGGAGAATCGTATACCGGATGCCATCAAGGCCTACAGCGATTGCCTCAATCTATTGCCCCAGCATGAGCAGGCGCGCATCTCTCTCGATGCACTGCAGCAACAGCTGCGACCAGCTGCAGTTACTGGAGGAACCACCAACGCCACCACCACCTTGTTGGCCCTGCAGCATCAGCAGCGTGGAGCTGATATGCTCAGTGTGCCCGGCGCCGGCGACTCAACGGTAACAATTGGCTCCACGGACGACTCAAGCTCATCCAGCGGCAGTGAGAACGAAAACGATAGCGAAGGGGGACAGCGTAAGTGTCAAGCCTGCAACTAAACTGAAATTGCCCACAACCAACCTATTGTATATTTTAGCAAGCGGCAAGCTGCGTTCTGTCCTGCCCATTGAGCAGGACAAGCGCGCCGTCAGCGATGCCCTCTCGGCTAACGAATTTAAGCTGGACGACGATGAGACGATGAGCAGTGTGCGGCGATTGCTGCGCGAGGCGAGCAAGCACAAAAAGTCCAAGAAGAAGGGCAAAAAGAAGAAGGACAAGGAGAAGGATAGAAAGGAACGCAAGAAATCGAAATCAAAGTCGATCGAAACTGGAAGTGCAATCTCAGCCACCGAGGCTGCATTGGAAATGCTCAAGAAAATTGACTATGCGGAGGCTTTCAGGTAACTGCGTGTGTCGCCTTCCCTAAAGCTGGTCAATCCTTAGATCATAAGGAGAGTTCTTGTTTGCTTATGATTCAAGTTCAATTGACCTGTTTTAAAGTGTTTTATAAATTCAAAATACCTTTGCGCTCTCCCATGCATGACGAATTAGCCGGAATAAGTATGCTAAGTGAGTTGCTTTCATTTGTTGTGCCCATTTTACACGTTTCCCTTTTGCTAACACCCTTTGCAGGCTCATGAGCAGCAGCAGCAGCGATGCCCAGCTTAAGTCCCAGCTGCAAATCTATTTCAAGCGCAAACAGCGCTCGGAAACGCCAACGCCCCCACCACCCTCTGTGCCCACCGCACTGCGCAAGCAGCCGGCGACGACGACAATGACGGGCGGCTACAATCTGATGATGGGACCAAGCACTTCGAAATATGCCGCGGCTGCTGCAGCCAATGTGGACGATGAGCAGCCGCCACCAGCGCCCAAATTCCATCATCATCAGCAACAACAGCAGCAGCAGCAACAACATCAGCAGCAGCATCAGAAGCTCTCATTTCAAATCAAGAAGCGTCCGCTACAAATGGATAAATTTGGATTATTACGTTTGGCCACACCGCTAAGCTCGCGATCGCGATCCCGCAGCCGCTCGCCGAGGCGACGCAATAGCCGTAGCCGATCCCGCGACAGACGCCCATCGAGGCGACGTACGCGCAGTCGTAGCAGAAGCAGCCGCAGGAGCAGTCGATCCCGTCACTCCAGATCGCGCAGACGACGCAGTCCGACACGCAGTCCAAGTCGCAGCCGCAGTCGTAGTCGCACTCGTAGTCGTAGTAGGAGTAGAAGTTATTCGCCGTCGCGATTTGGTGGACGGTTCAGAGGCGGAAGGAACTTTAAGCAACGCTTTGGCCAGCGTGATAGACGCTCGCGGTCGCGTTCCTTTGGACGTGGCAGACGCACACCGTCACCTTTTGTGCCCCGGCGCACTCCGTCGCCGGCCGCCCGATATCGACGGACACGGTCGCGTAGCTTCAGTCCGCGGCGGCATCAGCCAGGGCGTTTTATGCCGCGCGGACGGAGTCGCGGACGTGGGCGTTTCCAGAATCGCTGGAACTTCGATGGTCGCAACAATGATCGGCGTCTCAGTCGGGAGAAGAGTGTGAGCCAAGCACCTGGCGATGGACCCACCATCGAGGAAGTGGACGAAATGATCAAGGAAGCACAAAAGGAGCGCAAGCAAGGCATCATCGAGAGCGACAAGGACATTCTGAAGAAGAGGGCCACAAATAACAACACGACCAGTGACAGCGCCTAGAATCTAAGATTAGGCACACCTCCAATGTTAAGGTTCTTTTTATACGTAGTTCTATCAATAGTTTATACAGCCATAGATAGAATCCTGATAAGGTCCCCCTGCTAACAACCCAACTATGGACACCAAAATAAAGAAGCTTGCTAAGCATTTTCTGCATTACAAATACGAAAAATACAAGATTTAGTCATTTACTGCAAATTTATAAATAACAAAACATTGTTATGATATTATTACAATATATCCATCGGATTTAAAGAATATGTAAAAACAAATTATTGTGGTTTGAATCAGTTGAATGTTTATCGTATCCGGTTCAAGGTAAGTCAAATTATATAATTGACAAAAGCTGAAAAATAAGTTTTCTTTTTTTTTAGCAAAAGATAATCTGCAAAACAAACAGGAAAAAAATCGGAATAGAAATTCCACACGAATCTAGAAACGCCGACCAATTAGATAATTAAAAAGTGATTATTTTGGAGATTCAGTAAATACTATCAAATAAACGAATAAACCCTTTTCAGTATATTTCAGATAACAGGGTAGATGATCTCGCAACTGTTGCCAATATCAATAGTTTGCTGGTCTCAATTCTTAATTGTTTACATATCGATATACACTAATAAATAATTATATTTATACCTACGCGCGTGCTTCGCTCCACGCTCCACTCGCCACTCACCCACCATACAAAACCACAAACACAACAAACAATCCGAGATTGCTCAAACCGGCTATTTACAATGGTCGCCGCTCTCTTATGCACCGATACACGCAGAACGAAGAGAACGAGAGTGAGAGAGAGAGAGAGCGCCTCACTGCCTTCAATGTGTTGGTGTCGCATACGGTGCAACCGCCTCTAACTAAAAAATTGCTGTTGAGCAGCGCGCACATAAACAGTCTGGACGCTAAACGAAGTTCAAACTTATTCAGAGATAAAATATATTCAGTTCATATTTGCCTGCCGGCAGCAGCAGAAGCGCAACTTGGAAGGAGCCCAGCCCACAGAGTGGGAATGCTTGTCGTCTACTAATTGTCTTTGTCAGTGTGTGTATGTGTGTGTGTGCGTATTTATTAGCGCACAACACTTTGATTTAGAATAACAAACGCGACAAGTTATTGTAATTAGTACGTGGGCTAAAATTAAATTCGAATAATTAAGCGAAACAGGTAGTAGTGAAATAGACACATCTGACAAATATTATAACGCGCACCATAAACGTTTTATTTGGTAAGTAAAGCTATCAAATTTACATAAGCGCTGCTGCCTGCATTCGTCCAATAATAAATAAAAGAAAGACAGTGTGCAGCAAAAGTGAGAAATGCAAGAAAATTTGCGAACACAAAATTAAAAAGTGCGGAGCAAAACAACACGCGGCGGCGGCGTTGGCTTTTGTTTGGACTTTGAACGATAAGAGCGCCCCCACAGCAACAACTACAACAACTAAACTACAGCAACAACTACAATAACACTAAATAAAGACAAAGAACTTGAAAAAGTCACGCTCACGGACTGCGCTACATTTTAGTTGCCATGTGGGGCATATGTGCACACATATGCCTTACGTGATCAAGGTAGTGAATGAAAACGAAGATAATATAAATTACTATTTATAATCTCTTGCTATACAAAGTTGACAAAGTTGTTAAGCGCTATCTTTTAATAGCGTGATAAAAAATATTGTCGCTTCGATAGTACAAGCACAAATAAAATAAAATAAAAAAAACTAAACAAAATAATATAGATTCAATACATTCATGTGTTTGATTATTTCGCGAGACTATTCAAATTTCTAGTGAGCGTTAGAGGTCTACTTATCGTAAATATTTGACTATTCCACAAGCTAAATAATTTTCACAACAAGCTCCTGGTGTTTTAGTTTAAAAGGTATTTGTTGACTTTTTCGTTTATCGCTGCGCTCTTAAAATTTACATCTTAGCAACAGAAAAAATTAGTGTTATCAGACAAACGAAATGTACTCATTTATCTAATATTCTTAAATGTGTTGCAGCTCAATCCCAACAAAAATCCCCTATAATAATGTATACGAAAATCTTTCGTGCTGTGATAATTGGCGCCCCTGGCTCCGGCAAAGGCACCATCTCGGAGCGCATTGTGAAAACTTTTGGCTTTCTGCACATCTCGTCGGGAGACATTCTCCGCCAGAACATAATCCAAAATTCGGATCTGGGGAAGAAGGCCAAAAAATACATTGACGCCGGTCAGCTGGTGCCCGATGATATCGTGACCCAAACAATGGTCGGTCGGATCACCGAAGTGGGCAACAAGTCCTACATTTTGGACGGTTTTCCACGCAATGGCGCCCAAGCGGAAATTCTGTCGGCACGTGCTCAAATCGATGCTGTTATCAATTTAGACATTCCACATGATGTAATCATTTCGCGTGTGAAAAATCGCTGGACTCACATACCGTCTGGCCGAGTCTACAACATTGGTTTTAATGATCCCAAGGTGCCCGGCAAAGACAATAAAACGGGCGAACCGCTGACCCAACGCGAGGACGATAAGCCCCATGTGGTTGCGAAGCGTTTGCAGTTATACGATGAGCTGATGGGCCCCGTTCTGGCCTGGTATGGTGAACGTGGTCTGGTAACCACTTTCAAGGGTCGCGAAACTAAAGAAATTTGGCCACGTGTTGAGCGCTTTCTCAAGGATAAGGTCAACATGGTTTAAGAAAACCAAGAGAAGGGACAAGAGACAGACAACTCAATTATATGCACAAAAAACTTCTTTATTTTATTCATAGGCAGCCGTTGCTATTGTGTTCAATTAAGGCCAACTGTTTACATATATATCAAATATATATACATATATATATTGTCAAGTGAGGGTACGGTTCATTGTAACTAATCAAATGTAATTGCGAAGCCTTACAAAACTTATAACGAATCAACAAGTAAAATGTTCCAAAAAGTGATTTTTTTTCCTCGTTCTAAAAATGACAGCGTAAGCCATCTGATACATTCCCACAATAAATAAAAATGTGTTGTTTTGATACGAATATTATATAGCTTACATATATACATAACTATATGTACTTGTATAAGCGCCTCTATGTAGGTGCTCTGATAATAAATCGTTTTTAATATTGTCCACTGATAACGTTACTGCTGATTTTGACATGGAGCCGTAATAGATATGCCAAAACCTATTTTTGGGGTACGGAACAAAATTGAAACAATTATGGCTTCCCACACACTTAAATGCCATATTGGTTGGCGTGTAGCGCCCCACAGCTGCCAAGTGTGGCGCTCACGACATATTCTCTCACGCACACACACACACACGCAAAAATGCGAAGAGAGCAAACATAAGGAAGCGGAATTATTCTCTTTGGCTCTCTCTTTCTCTCTCACACACTGCATTTACTTGCATTGCATCCGATTGGAGGTGTTTGTTTTGATTTTGAAATTAAGTACATGTCCATATGTAGTCTGATAATCAAATGAGTGCCACAACTGTGTAAATTTGTGGCAATCAAATAATTATTTAATGCCAACTGAATGATTTATATAAAAGGCTGTGTTGAAAACATATACGAAATATGTTTTAGTAATTCTTTAGCTAGTCTTATGTTCATTAAAAATGTATTGAATTACGTTAAAGTTATATTTTGGACTGTTTAATGTACAGGTTAAGCTGCTTATGAAGATATATACTATTTTCTAGACTGCACTGTATTTGAGAGTAATTCTCTCTTTGTGCTTTGCTCATTATTACGGCATTTTTAGCACACATACACGCACACACACACACACACAGACACACGCACACATAGAGGGAGTACTACATATACCTGCCCCGCTCCACTGCGCACGCTGTTTGAAGCCGCGCGTAGCATTTCCTGAATCAAATGACCCCACGAAGCGAAAAGAGCAATTGCCGAATGCAGGCAGCCAATTGAGTACTTATCGATGAATGATGCCAATTTAAAGAATTCCAATCGGAATTTCGCTCAACTAAACGTAAAACTAGGTGTGAAAATGGCTGCTGACTTTCGTTACTCTTGTTGTTGGTGTTGTTGTTAAAGATCTTCTTTGTTTATGCCAATGCGACCACAACGAAAATCGCGACGACAACGGATACAGCGAATTCAGAAAACTTCATTACCAATCGCACGGTCTGGTCTGAGTCAGAGACCAGACCCGGTTGTGAAATATCAAATAATAGCAGCAACAATAATTTCAATTTCAATTTACCTCGTATTTTGGTACGCTTGGTCAGATTCATCCAAATATCGCCGCGTATGACTTGGCCGGCATAAAAAATGCGATCTGGATTGTCCAGTCGAATGCAGAGTCGTTCGCTTTCCATGCTGCTGCTGCTGCTGCTGCTCTCATTAAATACTCATCCAAAAATAACATATAAATCGACACATTTGAGAGGCCGCTTTGGTATCACTGTGCAGAAAATACAACTACAACTATTGGACACTATTCAATTAACCAGAAGAGCAACAATTAAGGCACTCACTTTAACTGATAATATGTAGCTTGATCTTAAGTACATTCACGCACACGCCTATTCGTTTAAATTACATTAACCACAGCGAATATTTTAATAATTCATGCAAAGTAACTAGAAACGTTGTTGCTTTTGTTTTACCTTGCCACACGATAACGATAAGCGATTGCTCTAACAAAACCAGCTGATGCTCAATTCAGTTCGGCGTTGCCACCTTTCTGCAAAACTTAACGTGCTAAAAGCTATTATTTAAAAATACGATAAGGCGTCAAGTTTCAAACAGTTCAACTTCTAATTGATGAATATGACATGTTTAAATAAGAAAATAGCTTTACCAATACAATGTACTTCCCCATTCTTGTGACAAGTGGCAGGTCTAACTGCTAACAAAGCCTCCCGCCTAAGGGTATATCAGAATTCATTAATCAATTCAACTTCAGTATTAATTTGACGCTGCTCGCGTTCGGCGCTTATGGTCGGGACGCGTCAGTAGTCGTTCTGCCCTCGACTCGAGTGTTTTTGTCTGTGTGTGTCTGCAAGTTGGGCGTTGCTTGCCACTGTCAATACATCAAATATACCACCACAAGCATACAAAAGTGCGCATCCTGACACTGCTCATCACCAAGGCTCATACAAATATTCGCACATATTTTAGCAACAAAGATGAGCAGTAAAGTAAATTTCAGCTTCGACAATATATTGGGCATCTACTATGCTGGCCAGCTCGTATCCGGCACAGCGGAGCTCATCACAGAGCGGCCCAAAACCATACGCTGTAAGCTCAAAGACATAAATTATATTTCATTGTGCTTCCGAATAGCGTGACGTCATGTCATTTCCCCTCCAATTCTATTGCGTATACGGAAATCACTGTGGGCCTATGGGACAAACGATTCATTATTATTCGAGTCGTCATTATTGCTGTTGGTGCTGCTACATATATATATTTTGATATTGATATTGAGCCGGTTGCTAATGTATACACATGTGTGTCGGCTATTTGATATTGTAGCGATAGTGAAATAAAAGCAAAACTCGTTTTTCTTGGAAATTGTACATCTGCTGTATACTGTAAGCCAACAATTTACTCAGTGAGCAGAATTATTAAGAAAAATCGCACAGCCTAGAACTTAAAAAAGCTTCGATTCTTAAGTTTCTTTAATGCCTATAAGAAAAATAATATGTACCGGATATCTCCTAATCATTCAAGTTTTTAAGATCAACATGCAATTTATATATATAATAAAATATAAAATAATTTTTTAATTTGAATTAACTTTATCGTATCGCATATAAATGTAATTATTTTTTATAATCCTTTTCAACATAATTATTATACATATATGCATAGTTGGTAGTTGTTCTTTATTACTATATATGAATTTTTAGTGGTGTGGCAACATATTTTTTTTAAAACCAAATTAAAAAATCATTTTCCCACCAAAATGTACTTCCCCCGCTCGAGGGTATATCATAATTTATTTATCTTATTCAGCTTCAGTATTAATTCGGCGCTGCTCGCGTTCGGTGTTTGTGGTCGGAACGTGTCAGTATGCACGATTGTTGTATGTTGCGCGTTGCTTGCCACTGTCAATGAAAGAAGCATACCACAAACGTTCAAAATCGCACGGCTCGTCACTAAGAATATCTGCACATAGTGTGAGCAATAAAGATGAGCAGTAAAGTGAATTTCAGTTTCGATAGTGCCTTGGGCATCTATTATGCTGGCCAGCTCGTATCCGGCACAGCGGAGCTCATCACAGAGCGTCCCAAAACTATTCGCTGTAAGTTCGAAGACATAAATTGTACTCCATTGTGCTATTCAGAAGCATGACGTCATGTCAACTCCCCTCTCTCCAATCTAATTCTATTGCGTATATAGAAATCACTCCGGGCCGGTGGGTTCATTATTATTCGAGCCGACATTGGATTTGTTATTGTTGTTATTACGTATTTCTATTATTATTGTGCCGGCTATTTGATATTGCAGCGAGAGTGAAATAAAAAACAAAAACAAGTTTTTCTTTGAAATTGTATGGCTGCTGTTTATTCTGTGTATTGGCCATTTGACTGAAATATGAGTTGTGAGCCAACAAATTACTTCATCAGCATAACATTTTTAAGAAATAGCATTGCTTAGAATTTGACAAAATTCGCAGGCTCTTAAGTTTCTTAAATGCCCATTAAAAATCTACTTCCCCCCAAAAGCAACACTCAAATTTGCAGAGTATCTCTTAATCGTTCTCCCTCGGCTTAGTTTGTTACACGCGTTTGCTGCTAAAATCAGCAAAGAATTAGTTAAGAGACATAATTAGGCTTCAAACTGGTTTTTTCTCGTGGACCGTGAATAAAGTTTGAATAATATGGATAGGACTACAATAGAGATATGTGGTCACAGTGTACGGATTCGAACTAAAGTTATAATTACAATATAGCGTATGATTCTATAAATAGTCAGAGGCATGTCATAGAAAATCCAATTAACCACAATTGAACTCGACTAATGTTTAAAAAGCCCACATCGCTTGCAGCTTAATAGTATTACAAAGAAATTAAGCCAATTACTCTGATGACCCCCGCTGTTTCCCTTCCTGTTTTTCTCAAGCTATCTACATAACTGTGAACGGCTTTGTGGAGACGCGATGGCAGGAGAGCGTTGAGAAGCCCGGAGAGGATGGCAAATTGGTCAAGTCGATGGAAACGCACACAGCCACAGAGATCTACTATAGCAGCGATAAGTATGTTTACGGCCAGAGCGGCGGATCGCAGCTGGAATTGCCTAAGGGCAAGTTCGTCTTCCCATTTCACGCCACCATTCCGCCGCATGCGCCAACCTCATTCAATGGAACACACGGTCAGATAAAACATGAGGTGACCTTGACTATAGATCGGGCCGTTCGATATAATAATACATTCAGTCAATGCTTTACGGTTATACTGCCCAACGATTTGAATGTGAGGCGGGAGCATTTGGTAGGTTCGGCATAATCTGGAAAATTTATATGATTTAGCTAATCGTTTAGTCTGTTATTAAATATAAATATAGCAACCACTGAAGCGCATCGAGGAGAAAACCTTTTGGTGGGGCTCCATATTTGGCGGAAATAAGCCAATGGTTATGGATGTGAGCACCTCGTACAGCGCCTATGTGCCTGGACAGAAGATACACTTTCATCTTGTGATGGACAATCAGTCGGATGTTCAGTGCCAGGACGTGAAAGTGCGTCTCTTCAAGAATGTGACGTATCGCGGCAAGTGCGGTGATAAGGAGCAGCTGAAAACAACAGAGGAGCGCTTGGCCGATAAACACTGTGGCGAGGTCGACAAGCATAACAAGGCGCAATTCAATGACTTTCTGATGGTGCCACCCACAACGCCCACAACTCTTGGGGAGCGTGATTCCATTCGGGTTAGCTACACGCTGCGCTTCATTGCAAAAACATTCCGTTTGCATGGCGGCGGAGATATGGTGGTCGATTTTCCACTGGTCATAGGCACGGTGCCGTTGCTGGGAAGTGCTGAGGACAAGGGTCCGGGGGCCCAGAAGACAGCCATTCCAAACGGTACAATGCAGGCATTGTGTAAGTGGCTTAAATCACATATAATTTTTTAAATTTTTAATCAATTCATCTATTTTTGCAGCTGCACCCAACTTCCAGGAGGATGTGAGCACGGAACACTTTGAGTCGAACACCTTTAAGCCACGTTACCCGGTTTATTTGTTCAGTGGCCAGCCAGCAAACGCAAATGCCAATGGCGCTGCTATATCACCCATTCCCAGTCTATATCCAAAAGCCGCTGACTCTTTGCCGGCACATCCAGTGCATTACACAGCAAATCCTGCTTCGCCAGTTGCGAAACCACCGGCGGCCGGCGCTACCAAGGCGCCGCCGTATCCCGTACAGGCGCCCGCCGCTGCCGCTGCTGGCAACAATTTTGAGGTGCTTGGCTTTAGCATACCACCGGGATATCAGCCGACGCCCACTGCACCAGCTGATGGCTCTGGCAATATTGGTTGGAAGTAGTTATAAGTTACGTAAATTAATTACCTTTTTGTAAGCACCTTTGGACGATTTTGAATAAATGTATCCGCGCGCGCACTCTCAGTGGCAGTGGTAAATATATCGATATATTAAATATCGCAAACAGTGCTTCTTAGCTGGTGCTCATCTCTAGTCGCAACTTAACAGCTCTGCTGTTATTACCCTGTTATCTATCATTCGACAGTTATTCTATTTCAGAAGATGTGGAGATTAAGTAAATTTTATTAATTTGTTTACAAAATATCCCACTGAGCTACATTAATAATATCAATGACTGTTAATAACATATCAGCAGATGTTAAATGATTTGAGTGCCCCCAGCTGTTAACATTGAATAAGCAACAGCTGTTTTAGAAATGCACTTGACGTAACTTGGGGCAGAAAGTTTTGTTTTCAACTTAATTCGTGTGGCCGAAAAGAGTGAGAAAAACCGGTTTGTAATATCTTTCGCATTGGCTGCAGCAGCAATATCGGAGAGTGGCAGTTTACAGTTATTACACACACGAGCGCGCACAGCAAAAGAAAGTTTTGACGCAATCGCATGGCCGTTACTTGTAATTTGTAATGAAGAAGCGTCGTGCTGCCCAACAGTTGACGCTGCACTCTGGCGGCGGACGGTCGAAATTACTGACGAGAATCGTGCATATTTGGAATATTTTGTAAAGGTGAGGCTTACTCGCTTAATATGCATAACAAATGCAACGGCTTTATCTTGGCCTGCCTTCAATAGCAGCATTGGACCTGGCAACAGCCAGCCAGCAGCGACACAGCAGTAACAAAAGTGAAATCGAAATCGCTGATAAAGACGACCTCCTTGAATAATTTACTGAATGTATGAATGAATCTCTGAATGCTTGAAGAATTTTGGGACTGTGTCGGAAATGGCGCGTAAGCGCGCACAGCGACTATAGAAAATTAGTGTGACAAGCGACTGAAACGCGACCTGGCTGACATGACAGCTTGTTAGTTTAGCCCGCAATCTACCAACTTGATCTCAACGCATAATTCTCATACTCTTCCAGAAGGTATTTCAATTTTCTCACAAAATATGTAACGCATTTTCAAAAGCACATTCGTTCCCATAAGGTATTGAAATGTTGGTCTTAAATGCATTTCTCGCATAAAAATACCCCTTTTCTTTTCAATACAACGTTGATTTTTTTGTTATGAGCATTTTTTGTGCTCCCAACAGTATATTGTATATCTTGCAACTTGCATCTATTTAGGGCATTCAATCTTCGACAGCTTACAGATGACTCTGCTTGCTTGTTTCACACATTAATTTGCCAACCATTTGATGACAGTCCAAACAAAAACAATTTGATGACACCGCGAAGCGCACCTTGAACAATGGTTTTTTTTTTTATTTGAGTCGAGTTTAAACCTATTTTGTTTGTCTAACAGCAAATAAATGCCGATGTTGAAACTGTTGTTGTTGTTTGTATGATTTACAGAAATTCCATTGAAGACGCAGCCGCAGCAATAAAAGTGAAATCAGCACGAAAACAAGCACATACGCATACGCGCACTCACACAATCACATACACACACGCACACGCACACACACACAGAGCCATTGACATCGATACAGACAGTCGAAGAGACGACAGTCAGTGATCGATATGACGCCGGCCGTAACAAGCACCAGTGGTGCCGCCTCAGCGTCAGCCACACCCACAACGCCCACTGTGAGTCCACGGCGCAGGCACAGCACACGGGAGCAATTACATCAGATTGTTGCTGGCGGCATGGCGGCCGCAATTACGCGTTCCACCTGCCAGCCGCTGGATGTGCTCAAGATACGTTTTCAGCTACAGGTGGAACCGCTGGGAGCCACTCGACAACAACTGATCATCCAGCCAAACAGCGAGAGCGCTGTGAAGCAAGTGCAAGCACAGTCGTCCAAATACACATCCATCACGCAGGCGGTGCGTACTATTTATCGCGAGGAGGGAGTGATGGCCTTCTGGAAGGGTCACAATCCCGCCCAGGTGCTAAGCATCATGTACGGCATCTGTCAATTTTGGACGTATGAGCAACTGAGCCTGCTGGCCAAGCAAACCAATTACCTCAAGGATCACACGCATCAATCGAATTTCATTTGCGGAGCCGCTGCCGGCGCTGCAGCAGTTATCATCTCCACACCGCTGGATGTTATACGGACGCGTCTCATCGCGCAGGACACTAGCAAAGGATATCGGTAACATATCATTTTAATGCAGTTCGAATTCAAATTTCTTGCCTTTTAAAACTGCTGATTTTAGTCTATAAATATCTTCTTTCTTGGGAGATAAGATCGCCCAATCTCGACTGTGTCCCAATTTAAATGTGTATGAATATATAATCTTCACTTTCTTCGCAGCAATGCAACGCGCGCTGTCACTGCAATTATGCGGCAGGAGGGAACGCGCGGCATGTACCGCGGCTTGTCCTCGGCACTGTTGCAGATTGCCCCGCTGATGGGCACCAATTTTATGGCGTATCGTTTGTTCAGCGAGTCAGCGTGCAATTTCTTCGAGGTGGAAGATCGCAGCAAATTGCCGACATGGACGCTTTTAGTGTTGGGCGCCTCATCGGGCATGCTGTCCAAGACAATTGTGTATCCGTTCGATTTAATCAAAAAGCGACTGCAAATCCGAGGCTTTGAGCGAAATCGACAGACTTTCGGACAGACCCTGCAATGCAACGGTGTCTGGGACTGTCTGCAGCAGACGGTGCGACAGGAGGGCGTCCGCGGTCTATACAAGGGCGTGGCTCCCACGCTCCTCAAGTCAAGCTTGACGACGGCCTTGTACTTTAGCATATACGACAAGCTGAGTCAAGTGCGCTTCTAATACGAGCTGCTGTAATTATATTTCTAGTTGTAAGTAGTGGGAAAGTTAACTGCACAGAATATATTTTTTATATGCAATTTACAAACAAAACGCTGTAAATGATATTAAGCATAGTTTCTCTGTTAATTAGTTATCATAATTTTAGTACGGGTTTTTGTTTTAAGTTAATATGTATCTGATAATACAAATTTAATTTAAAAACTACTCAAAAATGCATGATTCACGGAATGTTATTTCTTATTTAAATGCAATTATTGCTGGTATTCATTTACATAATTGTAATGTTGGGCAAATATTTTAAATGTCTACGAAATCTAGTTACATGTATTTAAAAAAGTTTATTACAAAAACCACTCTAGTAATTTGTGTTCCATCGAGCTCAAACCCAATATCCCATTTGCTTGTAATTGTTAAAATATGAAACTATTTAATTTAAATACAACAAGTGGCTACAGTACCAGATATAAATCTGTAAGAGTTTGTAAAATTCCATACTGATAATTATTTTAAGTTACCAAACTATTTTTTATAATGTTGCTTGCAGCTTTTCTACAATTTGAACACAACTGTGTCCCACTGTCTGCCGAGCTTTTGCTCGTTGTGAAATAAACTGCTTTATAATGAAAAGCTTCAACTCATTCATTTGGCTTGCAGCTGTTGTTTTGTTTAAGTTAGTTTTGTTTACTTAACAAAAAGAAAATGCTATCGCCAACCGAAGTGCAGTCATTTAAATATCTGCAAATTGTGGCTTTCCACTATTTTGACAGTCATTTTAAGGAACTAAACAAATGGATTAGTTTGCTTGATAAATTGGCACTGGAATATGCAGATCGGATTACATTTAAAACTCAAGATATAACAACTATTTCTACCTTTCACGAGTCGTTAAGTATCGATGATTTTGGTAGTTTTCGAGCGGATGTTCCACCCCGGCTCTATGGCATCGACAAGGATAACCATATATACACCATGCAAATGTTCTTCAACTACAAATATCTGAAGGACTTTTCTGAACTGCTGATTCAGGGTAAAATGTTTCAGGCACTTGTATTGGAGCCCAGCCCAGAGTTAGATTTGCCACCCCAAAACATGTATTATCTAAAAGATAAATACAGTAAGGACTATTTTATAATGTTCTACGATCCCGCTTGCTATTATTGGACACTGCAATTGGGCAAGCTGCGAAAGCTGTCTAAACTGCTGGCCAATGAAGATGTAATTGTTATCATCGTAAATAAAGCACATAATTATCTGGGCATTGATGTCGAGAGATGGTCGAAACTAAACAGTTTTGAAGGCACCATCACGTTTGCAACGAATCGTCCAGATGGCTGGAGTTCTAAGTATCAGGGAAGGCTGGATAGTACACGAAACTATCTGCACTATATTGCCCAGGGCAGGAATCCGGAACTAAGGGACTATGATGGACTGGGAGAACCTAGAGTCCCGGAAAACACACTCTGCGATATTCGATATTTATTCAAAAGTTCGACGGAACAGATTTAAAAAGACTTAATATTGTTTTAGTTAGTTTTTAAATATACTAATTTAATGTAAAAACATCAAATAAGATTTTAAAAACCAACTTTTCCTTTTAATATATAGTTAAGTGAAATAATTTGGAAAAACTTGCAAAAATAATTAGTGAAAAGCACAGAAACCATTAAGCTTTGAAGCTCTCAAGTGAGTCACACTGCAGACATCAATTTATCAATTGTGTAATTCACTTATGCATCAGTTTAACTTTGACGCTCAGCTGCCAACAAACATGAGCAACTTCCATTATTCCAGAGAGGATATGTGCGGATACAAGCCTCTGCCGGCTAATTACAACAGTTGGTTAGCGCCGCTGCACGCAGAGCGATTGAAACGGCTGGGGGAAAAACTGCTGGTTCTAAAACTTAAAATGAAGAAGCGACCAATGATTATAGGACTGCATTTGTTCGCCGACGATGTAGATGGATTGAGGCATTGGGTAGAATTGCTCTATCAAATTGCAGCTCCGCACTCGTATGGAGAGAAAATAACGTTTTTTGTGGACGATCTTTGGGCTGCATATGCTTTTGACCTGAACGGATTCTCCTTATGGCGTGGTCACACTAGCTTCTCCATTCAATCGCCTCCATTGATTTTTGGAATAAGTGCAGCTGGTAAGGTACATTTTTTAGGTAGTGCCAAAGGACCGAAAACGCCATGCTTGGAAAATCTTCAGGCATTTTGTGACCAATTGCTGACTGAATCAATAGAACAAGAGTTGGGATTTGAGGATTGGCTGCCTGTGCCGGATGTAGACTTATCCAACTTTAATGAACTCATTTACGGGGAGCAAGCGGACCTTGTTATTTGTTTCTACAATTCTCAAGAGCTTGACATGGATGAGACTAGGGAGTTTCTAGACGATTTATGTAGACTTGCCGCAAAATTGCAGAATGAGCAAGTAAAGATATTTAAAATGAATGTACACAAAAGTTTGCCACCCAAAAAGTTTCCCATAAAATCGTTTCCATCCATGTTTTTGTTACCCAGGCATCGGAAACAAAGTCCCATACGCTGTCATTATCCAAGGCAACGGATTGAAAGCATGCTAAAAGCTGTTGCTCAGCATTCAAGCGAAGAGCTCAATTTCTATGATCGACACACGCTGCGAAAACTGCACGTAGATTTACTTGTGCACATACGAAACTATCTCAAGGAGGAAAACTACGAATTAGTAAAACGATATATTTTTAGTAGCGAGTAACACTTTTCGTGTAACGATAATAATAAGTAATAATTTACTTCAAAATAACTTTTAATGCCAAATAGCTACGAGTTTAAACAGCTGAAGGAATCGATAGCAAAGTATCGATACTTTTAAAACCAAATAGATCAACATGCAGCAATTACAGTCAGAGAAAGACAAGGAAAAACACGCTCTTCTGCTTAATCATAGGCAATTAATTAATAACGCTTACAGTGCAAGCGTGAATGATGTCGAGACTTTTGAACTGAAGTCACAATTGTTTCAATTTCAACCGAAAGCAACGCCGCAGCCACAGCAATGCCAGAAGAAACGCAAACGCAAATTCAAAGAAACTGCGACCATTGCAGAAGTAGACAACGTAAACGAGTACCTGAATCTGCTGGTGCCCGCAGAATGCGGCGACAATGTGGCAGCACTACCCCGCCACTGGGAAGATGAGTACACACTGCCACAGTTGCACGGCAGCAACACAAGTGGCAAATTTCAAAAGTACCACACGTCGGATAGAATGGGCAGTACTTTCATTATACCGCATGCAGCACGCTTCTACAACCACAATGTGGATCAGCTAAGAGCGTTGTTGCCCCAACTGTTGCCCAGTTATGATTTAATTGTAATCGATCCGCCGTGGCGGAATAAATATATACGCCGACTTAACCGTGTCAAGCAGCAGCTGGGCTATGCCATGCTTGACAATGAGCAGCTGACTCTGTTGCCGCTCAGCGAGCTCACACACAGGCACACCTTGGTGGCCGTTTGGTGCACGAACTCCACGCTGCATCAGCAGGCCCTGGAAATGCAGCTGCTGCCTCGCTGGCGACTGCGATTGCTGCACAAGCTGCGCTGGTACAAACTCAATACGGCTCATCAGCTGGTCAGCAGCTTGAAGCAGGTGGATACCACACAAAAGCAACCCCACGAAATGCTCTACTTGGCCTGTCATGCGGAGAGCGATGAGACCTACGCCGCAGCTGTGAAACAAACCGAACTGCTGCTCAGCGTGCCCAGCATTGTGCATTCCCATAAGCCGCCACTGCTGCAGTGGTTGCAACACCATTTGCAACTGGCTCCGGATCAGGTTGAGCCCAACTGCTTGGAACTGTTCGCACGCTATTTGCAGCCCCAATTCACGTCGATTGGCCTGGAGGTGCTGAAGCTAATGGACGAGCGTCTGTACGATAAAATATTAAAGCAAGACTAAAAATAATCAATATAAGAACATTTTTACTTGTTGAAATGGTGTCAGTAGTGCCAGTTTTTTGCCATGATTTGCCAGAGATGAATGATTATTTCCCATTTTTATATAAAACATTATTGTTTTTTAAATAATATAAACAATATACAAACGAATTTATTGTGTTTTATTATTATTTTTATTTGTGTACTGTTAATGAGAGCAAATGCAACAAAAATTTTGTATGTGAAGAGAGGGGGGCAGGCGAAATGTTAAACATTTGAAGTGTTTGCGTTGTGTGTGTTTTGTTTGTTGTGTGTGTTTTGTTTGTTGTGTGTGTTTTGTTTGTTGTGTGTGTTTTGTTTGTTGTGTGTGTTAAATTAAGTATTAAGGTAAGCATTATTAATACACGTGTATTTGTTGTTCTTTATGCCCTACTCATGACCCTGAGCCATGGCAGCCGGGTTGGTGGGCTCGTTGCCGCCGCGCTTCTTTGAGCCGGAGACAATGTCATCAATGCGTAACAGCAGAATGGCTGTCTCCACAGCCGTTTTGTATATTTGCAACTTGACGGCAAGCGGCTCCCAGATGTTCTTCACATTCATGTCGACAATTTCGCCCGATTCGCCATCAATGCCCCAGGGACAGACGCCGGCGGCCGTGTGGGAGGCATGCTTGGCGCGCAGAGCGGTCAATGCACGAATGGTATTGGCGCCACAATTTTGGGCCAGTGTACGTGGTATGATTTCCAGGGCGTGTGCCACGGCCGTGTATGGACCTTTCACCTGCTTACGGGTGAGCAGCTGGGAGGCAGCCATTTCGACAGCGCCACCACCGGCCACGAGACGTGGCTCCAGCACCAAATTGCGTGCCACATGCAGAGCATCCTGAAGATTACGCTCCGTTTCATTGAGAATGTCCTTGCTGGCACCGCGCAGCAATATGGTGCAGGCTTTGGGATCCTTGCACTGTGTAACAAACGTGAAATACTCATCGCCAATTTTCTTGATTTCAAAGAGTCCGGCACCGGTGCCCACATCCTTGTCGGTCAGCTCCTCAGTGCGATTCACAATAGTCGCACCACAGGCGCGCGCAATACGCAAGTTGTCCGTCTTGCGCAGTCGTCGGATGGCCGTGATGCCCGCCTTGAGCAGATAGTGCTGGGCCAGATCGGAGACACCCTTTTCGGTGAACACAATATCTGGCTTGACGGCGATTATGTCAGCGCAGACGCGCTGCACAAACTCCTCTTCGATTTGGAGCATGCGAGTGAAGTCCTGTTCACCAATGATCTCCACATTTGTCTGGCTCTCGCCCTTCTTGTACTCCAGCGAGCAATCCAGCAGCACAATGCGTGGATTCTCAATGTAGCGACGCATCTTGGGATGCGTCACATCCTTGTTAATCATGACACCCTTCAGCACACAGGAATCTTCAATAGCGCCACCAGGAATCTTCTCCACTTTGGCATAGCTAAAAAAATGCATACAAAATTCGATTAGGAAAACGATATGACAGTACTGAAAATGGCCTAGGCGGAATTAGGGGATGTTATTTTTTGACCAAATTTGAAGAGTTGCAGAGTATAAAAAATGAAAACACTCACCGCTTGATGTCAACCTCCAAACGTCCATTCTCATTGAGGGTGACCGTTTCAACGGCATCCAGTGCAATTTTGACAGCCATGTCGGACCACTTGCCAATGAATTTGGTGCCGACGCATGCTTTGACCACATCGGCCATTTTGGTCTTATCCTTGACATCCAGTTGCACACTCAAATCAGACTGCAAATAGTTGACAATGTCCTCGAGGGCCTCGCGATAGGCACGAATGATCACAGTCGGATGGATTTGCTGTTGCAGGAATGGCTCAGCGGCGGCGAGCATCTCACCGGCGAGAACAATAACCGAGGTGGTGCCATCGCCAACCTCCTCGTCCTGTGTGCGGGCAATCTCAATCATGCTCTTCGCAGCCGGATGCTGCACGGTGATCTCACGCAATATGGCGTTACCATCATTGGTCATAACAATACCACCCATGGGATCCATCAGCATTTTCAGCATGGCCTGTGGGCCCAGGCAGGTGCGTATCACATCAGCAATTGCCTAAAAAGAGCCAACACTATTACAATCTTCTCAACAGATGGTCAGCAAACGCAGACATGTGAGTCACATACACGCACACACAGGCACAGACACACACACTCATACCTTTCCGGCTTGAATATTCTCCAACTGCACTTTGCGGCCCGATTCTCTTTTTGTGTTTTGACCTATGTGTACAAAATAAGATAGTAAATGGTGGTAAATGCATGAAAATTGTGTACTCACTCAACACGAGTATTGGTTGTTGTCCACCAAACATATTTATCGCTGTTTTTAATTAATTTCTATGTGAAAATAATAGAACTCGTGCCTCACGTTATTGCTGTTGCCGCTGTTCGAAAGAGAATGAGTGACGTTTGTTTTTGAGGTTAGGTAGCGCTGACACACACGATTCGAGAAGTTTCGATAACACAAACTGTAGCCGTAAATTAATAAAACCAAATTTCATAACTAATATTAGCCATAACTTACGTTTACTTACAGTTTAATTGAAATCAAATATGCCAGTAATTTAAATTAATTTAATTGTATTAAATAACAGACTCGATATAGACGCACAATCGATTTCTTTGCACACTCTGGCATCGCCAAGCGATCAGCTGTTGCGTTTTTTGTATATAAACGTTTTCAAGCGGCAATTTGTGCCAAACTCTGCGCTATGGAAGCCAAAAAGATATCCTTTGGCTTTAGCAAAGTTGCCAAGAAGCCAAATATATTGCCTAGCAAAGCGACAAAAGAAGAGAACAAAGTGGAGCTTATAAAATGCCTCGAAGGCAAGGAAATCAAGCTTGTGGCGTAAGTCCGGCATTAACATAAAACGAAACAAAGTCAAATTATACATTCCCTTGTTCCAGAGAAAAACTGGAAGCTACTCCACTTGTCATACAAATGCAAACAAATCAGAAGACCTCCACGGCACTGGCAAGTCTAATGAAACGACGCGCAGTCCTGCTCGGCGAGGATGATCCCGAACCGGAGGAGTCGGCTGTCGAAGCGCAATCCATAGCTGAAGTGACAGCAAATGGAGAAAGCGCCAGCTTAGAACAACGAGCTGCACGGGAACTACTCGACGCCGCACAAGGCAACAGCAATAATGTTGGTGAAGGTGAAAAACTTGTATTGCCGGCGCTAAAAGCTGATGAACTGCCTCTGGATGGTGCCAAGGAGGCGACCCTTAATGACTATGACAACATACCTATACAACACTTTGGTCTGGCCATGCTGCGTGGCATGGGCTGGGTCGATCCACCGCCAGTCTCCAAAAAAAAGGGAGCCGCACCGATAGATGATGCGCCATTCTTGCGACCCAAAGGCATGGGCCTGGGCGCTGACAAGGCACTCAAGCCGAAGGCGTTGCTTGTGCAGCCAGAGAAGAATGAAGTGCTGGAAATAAAAAAACAAGCTTTTGTACGCATCTTGGGTGGCAAACAAAAGGACCAATATGGACAAATCGAAGGATTCGACGATCATGCAGGTCGTGTTATTGTCAAAATGGCTATTGGAGGCGCCAAGGAGGCGTTCAACGAGTTCCTCTGTCAGCCCGTGTCGCGCAAGGAGTACGCACAATATGCCAAGTGCATAAGTACGTACCAATCAGCATAAATTGTAGAATAGATTAAGCAAAAGATAAATAATAGTTTCGATTGCTTACAGATTCGGCTAAATACGAGGAGTTCAAAAAACATGAGAACGAACACGGTCAAATTGTGATCAAGCGGGAAAAATCAACTGAACGATCCAGCGCTAAATCAGAGCGTAACGAAAGGCAACGTGATGAGGAGCGCAAGTTGTATAGGTTGAAGGATGAAGATCGCAAGCCATATAAGACAGAGCAGCGAAGTGTCAAGCCTGAAGATCAACGAACTGAGAGCAGGGACTACAAAGAGGAACGCAGTTCAAGCTCAAGTTACAAGCATGAGGAACGCAAACTCCACAGGGGTGAAGGCAACAGCAGCTATAGTCGGTATCAGCAACAACGTGTTCAAGACGCCAGTAGCACATCAAAATCGAGCAGCCGACGACGGCAGCAAAGCAGCTCTGACGAAGCTGAGGATACAGGTGAATCAACCGAGAGTGATTCTGATTCAGCTTATGAGCGCAAGAAGAAAATTAAATCTAAGAGCAGTAGTAGTAAATCGAAGAAAAGCAAGTCCAAGAAATCTAAAAGTAAATCCCATCGTCATCGTCACTCCTCGAGCAGCGGCGAGGAGAGTGACGGCAGCATAGGCGAGTGCTCGCGACATCGTCATCGGAGCAAACACAAAAGGAAAACCAAAAAGAGTAAACATGCGCGTTCCCGCACACGTTCCAGATCACGGGAGGGGCGTGGCAAGTAATTAGTAAAAAGGGAGGCAGAGGAAAAAAAAATGATGAAATCACATCAAAACTTTATTGAAACATAAATAGACGCCTAAGCTTGTATTCTTATGCAGGATTATCATTAAATTTCCAAGTAACTCACAAATAATCACAAAAATGTCTTTCTTTGAGAATCTTTTGCGGGGCCCCTATACAAACTTAAAGTTAGAAATGCGGTGGTGTATAGGATTCCCTGTTGGCTTATGTTTAAGTCAAGGTTTTTAGCTAGTCATGTGAATGATATTATTTCAATATGCGCATAGTATTCTTAGCATTATGATATATATACTAACTTGCTTGATTAATGTAATGTGTGTGAGTGTGTGTAGGTGTGTGAGATGGCAAGTAAATGACTTAGTATTTATATTATGTTCCTGTTTTTTTTGGTCAAATCTGGTGAGCTATGAGTATATGAGTAAGTGATAGTGTGTGGATTTGTGCACGACAAGTTCCATTTCATAATCCATAATATATATTTAAATAAATTGCAATCTACTGGAGCTTCTTTTTGCCATATTGAATCTTCTCTTTGATTATTTTGGAAGCATTCTGGGTGATGGACTTGAACACATTCTTTTCATTCAAGCCCGGCCACATTGCCACCAATACAGTGGCGCAATACATAAGCAATAGGTTGTTGATGATGGCCCCAATCCAGGCTAGAGCCAACAGTCCAAGGCTTATTACAATCACAACCTATTTACAGAAGCAACAGTTTAATATTATTTTTTAAAATATGTGTAGATAAATCTCACCATTGTTGGCTTGCGCTCCTTGAACAGATAGTCATACCAGACGGCAATAGCAGATTTAATGCCATATAGCTGACCGCACACCTCCTCAAATTTGGCCTCCTGTTCGCCATCCCATTTGCCACCGCTGGAGAGAAAGCGTGAGAGCGTCGGAATCACAAAATCCATGAAGAACGCCAACAGGGCCAGCAATGAGAAGAGTGTTATAAAGGATAAGTCCATGTACCACAGCAACAGATACATCACGCTGATGGCACCAAAGACGACGCCGGCATAGTATTGCTTCTCCCAGGTGAGAACGCCATGGGCACCCACAATGGCATTGCGAAATGGTTCTAGGTCGTGCTTTAGTTTGATTAGAGCACGTTTCTGTAATTGAATGATTTTTACGTGATTTTCATGATGGCGGCAATTTTTTGCTTACTGGGTTACAGCGGAATTCCAATTTTTAATCCTTGCTTACCTGGTCAACCTGAGATGTTGTCATCTTCGTTATTATTCTTGTCTCTTAAAACGCTTCTACTGTTGTGTACGACGTGTAGGAAGTAAGCCAGTCCTCAGACGCTATTGTTATTTTAGGAGAAAAATCAATTTGTTTGTGACAAACTTTCAGTAAGGATGTAAAAAGCATCGATAGCAAGCCTGCTAAATTATCGATAACAAAAGTTGCTGTACAGCACCGCCAATTGGTGTCCGTAAAGCTCGATGCTATTGATGAACGCTATTCTATTTTCGACACACAGTGACAAGTAACGGTGACTGCGTCACGTTAATTTCGTGCTTTATGAGAATTTTCATTGTTTGGTCGTCGCCAGAAATGCATTCGTTTCTTTAAAACGAAAGTGCTAACCATTTTCAGTCACTTATGTATATTTAAAAAATAGAGTTCAAATATTTTTAAGCTTACTGAGTTACTTGCTACTTTAAAATACTTGCCATACAAAGTTATCAATAAATGCGTACTCGATACTTTTAAAAATGACTTGAAAAAATTAACCGAACTGCAAAGCAAATCTTTTCGTTTCTTTAAAAATCCATTTTGAAAAAAGAACATAATGAGCTGTCCCGGCTTTGGTGAAGTAAACATACCATCCTCCCGTGCCTTTTGGGATGATTGCGAAGAGGACGAATTCGAGAGCATTGAGCCGGCCACGAAGTGAGTGTGCAGTTTTTAATGTTGTTAAAGTTATGCTCAAAGCATAAGCACACTTTCCCAAAGGTCACAGTTAAACTTTAAAGAGGGTGCAGACGAAACTCCTCTTGTCAGCGATGTGTTTGTGCTCATCGAAGGGCCGCACATAAATGAATTCTGCACTGGTGCGCTGCTCAAGGAATCGAAGCGGATTTGCGATATACCAGCGAAATCTTCGTCGCTGCATTGGAATGCCGCCAAGGGACAGCTGCTGGCCGTGCTGGAGGAGGATCTGACCAGCAGTGGTGAAATAACAGATCTGCTCATACCCTACGCACAGGTGGCAAAGCGTGTACTGACCATCACGCTGAAGCCCAAGGTGGACTACAAAAGCGAGGAAATCGACAGATACAGGGAGGATGTGGCCATTATCCACTCCGTGGGCGGTAATGGCGGTGATAAATCTGTGCGTGAGTTAGAGGCGCCTAATTTTATCGCTGGTGCCGCAGCGGGCAGTAAGTTCAAGTTTCTCCTCCACTTGCGCAGCAGTAATACAATCTCTGTTCCGTTTGCAGTTGCTTGCTGGCGCAATGAAATGGAGCTGCCCGTTAGCTCATACGTTGTTTACACGGACAAACTGCCGCTGGATGTGATTGCTGCTCAGCCAGTGCTCAAACTGCTGCAGAAACTGGGCGTGCCGTGCTCTGAACGTTATGTGCCACCATCCAAGGAGAGCTCCTACCTCTACATGTAGAAATGATAGCACATAAGTTTAGGTGATTGTTTATATATATATATATTTAAATAAATGGTTGCGGCTAAAAAAGAACTTTTACAGCATTTATTCCATTTTCGCTTATTGTAATACATCAAATATGCTCAAATTGAGCTCCTTGCTACGCCGCTCCATGTGCGCCTTGGCAATGGCGATGAACTGTGGCCGCGACAGCAGCGAATAGGCGGGCACCAGCAGCGAGGAGATCACCATGTGCAGCTCCTTATGCCCGCTGCTAAATAGATCCAGGCCCAGCTCTAGAGCAGTCCCAAAATCACATTCATCCACTGCAATATTGGCCGCATTGACCAGCGGCTGTAATTTCTCCAGCACGGCCTGCTTTGCATTGTCGCTGTCATCTTTGAGATCCTTGCGCTCGAACAGCGCCAAGATTTTCTTTAGCTCCGCATCGCTCACCATCAATGGACGATAGCCCTGCTGTGACTTGCGCTCGTACGGCACCACAATGCCAGCTCGATGAAAGGTCTTGGTTATCACCTTTTTATTACGATCGTTCTTCAAGCTTTCCAGCTGGGTCAGCTCCAGTGAGTTGGAGCTAATGTGCTGCTTGACGGCTTTCTTGGTAGCAGAGACCTGAGCCGCTGTGAATGGTGTGCCCACAAAATCATGGTCTAAATAATAAAGGAACGCATCAAATATGTTGCCAGCCACAAATTCAAACTCACAACTGCTCGTGGCATCATTTCGAGCCAGGAGTAGCCGCTCCTTATCTTGTGGCACATCCCGCCAGTAGCCGTAATGCACTCCAGTGCCTCGGCGTACGAAAACTGTCTGGAATTCTGGCGGATCATAATAGAAGCGCCAGTGGCGCAAATAATCGCCAGGTTCGCCCATTTTTGCCTTGTGGAATTTGCCAGCCAGAAACTCAAAGGGACCCACAAGCTGCAGCTGGAACACCTTGTCCATATGCTGCAGGCTGTTCTCGCTTTTCAGTTTGGTTATAAAATTCCAGAATTCAAAGAAATCTGGCGGCATCTCCACTAGAAACTTGTGCCTTATGAATTCATTACTTTCACAAAGATTATCGTACTCCTGTTGCACTGACAAACGGATGCGTTTTTCCAGTATTTCCATATAGTTTTTGCCGGCTATATTGTTCATTGCCTCCTTTTGCAGCTCCGCCGTCTCCGATTCAAAGTTGCCCACATTCTTTTCCTTTTCCGATTCCACTTCCATTTCGCTCGATTCGTTTCTGCTGCTTGTGTTTGGACTCTCTCCGTCTTCCTCCTTGGCTAATGCTTTGCGTTTTGGCGCCAATTTTGGCGTTTCTGTTTTCTTGGCTGGGTGATTGTATTTCTCTAGATGAGCCTCATTGCGCTGATAGCATTTGTCCCAGTATTTGCAGTCTTCCTTTGGCATTTTCACCGTTTCACGAAATTGTTTTATATATTTTAAGCGATGGACCATAAAAAAAACACCTTCAAAGCTTTATCTTCTTCTTTCCATTGACCAAAGAAAGCAACAAGGGGTCAACCAGGGTTGTTGCATTGCTGCAAATTAAATATCGATAGTTTTACATTTTCAATGCCCTTAAAATCTATTTTAATCGATTAAATATATATGCGAATGCAGTCTCAATTGTGACTTGTTTTAAATTTTGAGTTTTGGTTTTTAATTGTTGTTGTAGTTCATTCAATGAATACAAACATTTGCAAAAGAATCTGAATGCTGGGTTAGTTAGTATTACAATAAATGTGTATATGTACGGGCAGACGTTTCAAAAGGAAAACAATAAATCTAATATGCTATGCTATTCCTCGACGGCACACATAACCGAATAGACGCACTCCTCCTTGTTGATCAAGTGACAAGTTTTGTTAACGAGCGACATGAGCTGATTCACATCGGTTGCCCAATTGTTCAATATATCAGAGGCACTCTTCTTTGTAGTGAAGTAAATGATGCCAGCCGGTCTGTCGATCTTCACACGTATTGTGTCGCTGTTTGCCAACTTCGACAGATACTCCTCACAGCGATTTGTGGGCAAATTCAACAGCTCGCTCATACGCGTCAAGTGCAGGCGTGAATAGTACATCGCAATGATGCGAATATTCTAAAAATGAAAAGAAAAATCCCATTTTAATACTATTTTAAAATAAGTGTATAGATTCCTCGTAGATTCTTACGTGCTCGATTAAGCGATCTTTCAGCTCAGTGATGCACTTCTTGCTATGCTTGGTGGTATCCTTGAACATATCGTTCTCCGCCAAGACCATGCCAAAGTCCGCATTGAATGTATCGAAATTAATAAGCTCATTGGACATGAAGAGGCGCAGTATTTCCCTTTAAAATAAGAACATACAATAAATAAATGATACTATATATGTGCCTGTGCATATTACTTGTAGGCGGGAACATCTTCCAATTTTTTGTTCTTTGATAAATGCGCCATCATATCGCTTTGCTCGTTGTCGTAAGGAGCCAGAACACAGTAGACAACGGCACAAACCAGCTTGTTTGTCAGCTCCTTTTTCTGCTCTTCTGTCAGTTCGATTTCGGGCTCGGGTGCAGCGGCGGTTTCTGACTTTTTATCATCCTCCTCTTTCTTTTTGTCATCGCCCTTTTTCTTCTCATCACCGGTGGTGGACTCTGCGGCTGCTGGGGCCTTCTTGCGGGGCGGCTCCGCAATAGCTTGATAATGACGAGAGGTATTTAAGAAGGATGTATCGCGATTTAGTTGTATCATTCGATAATAGAACTTCAACTTGAGATCATGCTGGGCGGGATCGTCGAAGAACTTGATGCTAATCTTTTTGGCAATGATCTGAGTGGACACATAGTCCTCCTTCAGCAGACACAGGCGCATTTGCTCCAAAATTAGCTCGACCTTCTCGCGCTTGTCCATCGAACCATAGGTCTCTACCTGCAGCTCCTCCATGACGGATGCAGCACCGGCCACATCGCCATCCGACTCCTTGATATCAGCCAGGATTTTAGTTAAACGTGCACGCTCGATTTCCACATAGATTTTTCCCTCGGTAACGGAGCGCAGTGTATCAATAAGCTTCAGCTTAGTCTCCTTATCGGGCGTCTTGTCAACATATGTGCAGCATTCCTGTATCATTTTCACGACAGCCTGCTTCAGTTGCGAGCGGCGACGCACCAGCAGCGAGACGTACTCGTTCAATGCATTCCAGTTGCCGGCCTGTAGGCATATCTGACAAATGGCGACCAGGACACGCGAGCATGATAACATGTCGGCGCCCAGACGTGTTTGTTTCTCCAGCTGAAGCATCATTTCGATGGCTTCGTGAAAGGCGTCAGGATTCTTTTTGGCCAGCTCCTTGGCCAGGGGGATCTTCTCATTGCAGGCGGGCTCGTAGTCCACCTCCATTTTTGTAATGCGACCGCCATCGAACAAGTAGGTGTCCATGTTAGATGCTGCAGCAGTTGCAAGGATTTTTGTTGATGTTGTTGTTGTTGTAATTCGCTACTATGACAAGGCAACTTTTCAAGTGCCGCTACTTACAATTTGTTACGTGGTACTGAAGCGAAGCGTATTTATTGTTGTTGAATTCGGTAAACTTAACTATTTGCTACCCCTTTTTCGTTTGCTTTATTTGTAATACTTGTCTTGTTTTACTAGCAACGAAGCAAATAAAATGCGTTGAATTTCGATCAAAACCCTGCAGAAATTTGCTTACAAATGACGTTAAGTTGGCTGCGCCTGATTTTAGTGTTGAACAGTGTCTAAAAAATAGTTCCGACTTCAAATTGAAATAAACGTGAATTCAAGTTAAATCGTTAAATTAATAAATTTCACACAAATTCTTAATTTATATTGCATAAAATGGCTCGCAGAAGAGGATTTCGGTTACAGCTAAGAAAACGCAAAAATAACAGTATTTACAAGCGCAAGGTAAGTTGTGCAGCCCTGATGCCAATGCATCTTTCTACACTGTACAACACTCAAGATTCGCAGTCTTTGTTAAGCCGCGGCAAAAAGTTTGCTAAACACACAAATTTTACTTAATTCGTTATATGAAACGGGGGTGTAAACAGCATTTATCGTTTTAAGACGGTGCTGCGGTATCTGTAATTAATTCCTTGCTCAGTGTCGCAAGCGTTTGTTGTTCCGACGCTACAACTACATACACATTTTGCGCGCCAATTTGAGGGGCTGCAGAAAGACTAGCACCAAAATGGCACAAATACAGGAATATCAAGATCTGGTGCTCGACGCACTAGAAACAGTGGAGTTCAAGCTGAGTGAGTTATGAGTTTTCAATATTAGTTGTGAATATTATTTTCATTGGCTCCTTTGTGTCTGCAGTACGCGACAAGGCGGACATCAACAATGACGCTTTAATATTTCATCCAGCCATGGCGCATCAGATTTTTGGCGAATCGGAAACCATATTTGGCTATCAGGGCTTGCACGTGCGAGTATTGTATACGGCGGGTCCGTTGCACATCTATCTGGGCATTGAGTACGAGAAGCGTGTCAATGAAATTTCTGATGGCGAAATCAAAGCCGACGACGTGGTGGCCACCATTGCCCAAAGCCTGCCCGACGGCTGTTATTTTATTAATCTGGATGAGTTTCTTAAGACGTTGGATAAGGCCGACAAGTTCCAGCCGTTTGGCGAGAAGCTCAGCGAATACACACAACGCGCTGACGACGGCAGCGAGCGCATTTTTGAGATTTATCAGTGTGATTATAAGATGTCCTCATTTTTGAAATTCTTTGCGCGTTTACAAACATTTATCCTGTGGTTTGTCGATGCTGCCTCCTACATAGACACGGATGATGCTCAGTGGTGTTACTTCATTTGGTTGGTTGACTTTTCTATTCCATTGCAAGCGCTTTTTTTCTTAAATGTATTTTATTGCAGCTATGAGAAATACAAGAATAAGAATGGATCGTTCCAGTATGCCACGGCTGGGTATACCACAGTCTATGAATATTATGCTTATCCGCAAAACAAGCGACCACGCATCAGCCAAATGATCGTTTTGCCGCCATTCCAGAAGCTAGGCTTGGCCACGGAGTTGGTCAAAACCATTTACAAGTTCTATCAGTCGCAGAAGAATGTGGTGGATATAACCGTTGAGGATCCATCCGAGGATTTTCAGCGCTTACGCAATTTTGTGGATGCACGTTTGTGTCTGGATTTAAAATGCTTTGCACGCGAAGAAATCAGCCAGGGTTTTAGCAAGGAGATGGTTCGGGAGGCACGTGAGGCTTTGAAACTGAATCCACGCCAGGTGCGCAAGGTCTATGAACTGCTGCGGCTCTTCTACACCAATTTGAATGATGAAAAGGAGTACAAGGCGTACCGTCTGGAAGTGAAGAAACGCCTCAATGCCGTTTACTACAAACAGATCAAGGATCTGCAGAAAATGGAGCGTTATAAGATGGATACAGAATTGCTGCGCGCACGCATGCCAAATAATAAGCAGCGCATTGAACAGTTGCAGGAGGAGTATGAGCTCATCGAGCAGGATTACAAAAATACAATCAATAAGCTTCGTGCCTAGAGATACTTATAAAAAAAACTAATGCCGTTTGGGTGTTGATTAATTTATTACGCGTTTTCCGTTCTAAATATGTTGATTACAAAATACAATTTGTTGCTATAAGCCTACAATAGGATCCCGTCGAATAAATATGTATTAAAAAAGTACCTACATTTGTGGTGCTTGTATGCATTTATGGGTGTTTGAGGAGTAAAATTTGAGGCGTGTGGGGTTTTGAGCAATTTAACATTTAGAAAACATATTTCTTGTTTTATAGCTATAAATATATCGATACACATATATATATAAATATATATTGTTTTTACAATATTTAAAAAAAGGATTGCATATTGGAAGTACATAAGTATGGGGTGTAAATATTGAGGGACTTTAAAGATCTGATTGTGCTGCACCAGCACATAATTCGTACAACTAGCAGGAGCCATATTCCTCCATCCACTTTTCGAAACGTGCCACATCGTCAGCGGAGACGGACTTCTTGGTGCGCTGCTGTGCATCCAGAAAGTCCTGCAGTGTGATGGGTTGATCAGCATCCTCGCGACGTATTTGCTTAATTTGCTGCGGCGTGCGACCAGAAATAAGGCGCCGCATGGCCATCATGGAGGCATCGCGGCACACATTGCTGATGTCCGAGCCGGAATAGCCCTGCAGCTCATCGCCAATCATGCGCGTGTTGAGATCAGACGACAGCGATACATCCTTGAGACATAACTCAAGCAGCGCTGAGCGTGTTTCATCTGCGGATTTGAGTAACCAGCATAAGCAAAAGGTGGCATTAGGATTCGCATAAGAACTCGCACTCACCATTGGGCAGCGGTATGTAGATGCGTTTCTCGAAGCGCCGGCGGAAAGCCTCATCTATGTCCCAGGGATGATTTGTGGCCGCCAGCACCATGATGACCTTTTCGTCCTGCAAGCTCGCATTCAGGCCATCCATTTGAATAAGCAGTTCCGCCTTGAAGCGCCGGCTAGCCTCATGCTCCGAGTCGCTGCCACGTGAGGCACACAGCGCATCGATTTCATCAATAAATATTGTGCTCGGCGCATAGAAGCGCGCCATCTCGAAAAGCAGACGCACCAGTTTCTCGCTTTCGCCACGGTACTTGGATGTCAGTGTGGATGAGGATACATTGAAGAACGTGGTGCCGCATTCCGTGGCCACGGCTTTGGCCAGCATAGTTTTGCCCGTGCCCGGCGGACCCACCATTAAAACACCGCGCCACGGTCGACGAATGCCTTTGAAGAATTCAGGCATTATAATCGGCAGCACAACAGCTTCCTGCAATATTATTAAGAAATATAAATATATATATATATATATACATATATAGATTTATGGTTTCGGAGCTGGCTCCTAAAATGCATTACATGTTTCGTGACGAAACTAAAATACTCTCTGCAATGGCATTAAGATTAGCCCTTGATTTACCTGTAATATGGTTTTGGCCTCATTGAGGCCAGCTACATCGGTCCATTTGATGCACGGATGACGCTGCAGTATGTCCTTCTCCAGGGTATCGACCAGGTGTCCCTCATAACCCAAGGGCGAGAAATGCTTGACCTTTGTTTTGGGCGAACATCTGGGTGTGTTGTGCGTGGTTGACTGTGTGTGCGAGTTATCCTCCAGCGAAGTGGTCGCATCCTGATCATCTGAGTTCGAGTTCTCATCCAGTGAGTTCTTCTTCACAGCCCTTTGCTTGAGGGTTAGCTGTGTGCTGGTGCTCAGCTTTCGGGCTCGCAAACGTTCCACAGAGCGACTCTTGCGCACGGCTGTCGTCAGCGCAGAGGCTCTACCAGGTCGACCCAGGCGCAGGCCAACGCTAGCCGTGCTGTTCGTCGCCATTCCCACGTTGCCGGCGCTACCATGATGACTCTGGCTCAGACTGTTGCTATTCAGGTTGCTGTTGATGGAGGGCAGTGTCGGTTGCAGCTCCGGGTCGCGACGTCGCAGTGAGGAGACCCAGCGACTGTCCTGCTGTTGTTGCGAGGGAAATGGCATTGCTGGCTGGCTGGAACGTGGCTGGGGGGCTACCTCTGCATCGAAGACTGTGTTTAATTGTTGGGTGAGCGAGCAATTGAACATGTGTGGCACAAACCTTGTGTGGGCAGACGCTGTTTGCTGCGCAACGGCAGCGCTCCACCGATGCCCAGGCCATTGGGTGCATTTGCTCCCAGATTATTAACGGGACGATGCGGATGTGGATTCGCGGCGGCGATATGTGGATGCTGTTGATTCTGATGCACGCTCTCAGCTGATGGTTTCTTCACAGCATTGGTGTTGCGCGCTGGACGACTGGTGGCTGTGATTTTGGTGAAGGCAAACGGTGACAGTGAGTCCAATATCAGCGAGTCCATCATGCGCGCCATATGCGATAAGTTTGTGGGTGGCGTTGATGAGCTGCAAAATACAGGTTGAAACATTGCAGCTGATTAATGTTGCTCGCCATTCAACTTGGCCCCTGTCTGGCAAAGGTCATTTGCTTGCCTTATCAGCTGGCCACAGCAACAAGAGCAGGTCAGAGTGTCCGAGTCGAGCCAACCCGACTTGCATATACCCTGTAACCAGTTCTAAATTCATATTGCAAATATTAATTGTACTACTTATCTTTTCAGCTCTACCCACGCAGAAGTAACATAGGAAAATTGAATATATAAAATAAGCTTAATCTGCGTATAATACATAAATACTAAATTTAATGACATAGCAGGAGTCATACTTAAAGAGTTATAGTCATCTTCTGTCCGTAATACACAATTTTACATTTTCCAAAACCTTCTTACACAAATTTGTAATGGGGATAGGGTATAACATGTGCTTTGCGTGTTCGCTGCTAGTCTGGCCAAAGTTTGTCTAATGTTGTCTAGCCCTGTCACACAACATTTGAGTCGTTAACTCTGTCGCACACACACACACACGCACACACATCAAATACTCAGGAATTTCTAGGAAGCCAAAGTTCGTGAGTCTATCATACGCTTACAAACTAAGACATACATACATACATATGTATATGCAAAACAGTTGTGGGTTCAATAAACTTGGTCGGGAGAAAATGCCACCCAGGTTATTGACGCGCCGGCAACAATTGTTATTGTTGACAGTTACATGCGTCATCGTCATTAACAGTAATTCCAGTGCCTTTATGCCAGAGTCATACTTGTAGCACAATGGTGCAAATGCCATTTTGTTCGATTGCTGCCGTCAAAAAATTGCCGCACGCTAAAAAATATGCTACAATATTTTGTATTTCTTTCTTTAGCTAATTAAGTTGGCCGCAGCAGTTGGCCATGTTTGTTGCAGCTGCCTTCGACCGGATGTGTTCCTATTGCGCGCCCATAAACAATTGGGTTAATGTTTCTGATATGGCAAATAACAAGCGCCCACGTTCCGCAACCAGAGATTTGTGGCCTGCCAGATTAGGTTGAAACTGGGCCAACTTCTACACTAATTACGGCACTAAAAGCGACTGATTACATTTCGGCTGATCCGCCTATGTGGCCTATAAAATGTTTATTGACTCTGAGTATCGATAGCTAATAAACTACAACAAATGCGTATTTTTAGTATTTTTAGTTCGTTTGATAGACAGGCAAACGGGCACAAGGCTATATAGGAAAATAGTAAACTATCAAAAACAAGAATCTAGATTAATTGATAACTCAATAATTTCCCTCACTTTATTCTTATGAGCTTGTCGTGGCAAATACATACGAACAAAGAGGTGTTTATGTTAATTTGTTACATGGAAAATCAAACGCAAAAAACCAGTCAATTTATGCAAATTACAACCAGTGGCAATTATGACTAGCAAAAACGTCAAGTGGCCAGGAAAGGCGCCTGATAGTAGGTTAAGGACTGAGACAATTACGATGCAAATCGAACAAATTTAAAGAATAATGTTCATGCGTTAAGAGTAAAGAGAAAATTGTTTAGCAATGCTTGAAACACAAATAGAAAATACTTGAGCCGAGCTAATGCAAATGAAATGTTCAAAGGACAACCTTAGATATGTTTTCCCGTCAGATTGAAAATCCTTTGCAATGCCTTAAAATGTATAGTTACCACTGATGTAGATCCCATAGCGAATGATATGGCGTGTGTCTATAGCCAGACATAAAGGGCACGGCCACTTCATATTCCACTTGAACATTGGGCGGAGATTGGGGACGCAGTGCCAGAGTGGTGCGCTCCAGCGCCGGATTAGAGCTGTTCAACGTGCGTTGACGTATAAAGGATTGCGACTGCAGGCCATTATTATTGTTAAGCAACTGGGATGCGTTGCCGCCAGTTGCTGGTGGTGGAGCAACCGGTTGGCCCATGCCAAACCAATTTTGAGCAGTTGCATTAAACATTGTCGGCCGCCAGCAAACAATGACTGAGAGAGAGACACTAGTAATTTGAAAACGCACTAAAATGTTTGATTTATACAAATGTCTGACGGAATTGTCAGACACAACACGACGACGTGATGCGCAGTGAGGCGACACATACACCAAACAACTCAAGGGTTGTGCGCCAACTGACCGCAAAACTGGACGACTGACCAAGCGTCCACAACAAAATGTGGCATACTCATTATTCGCTTGGCGGGTAGTTTCTGGGTATTTCAGCGTGTATGTGTATTCCCTGTAAGTGTGCATGTGAAATGAGGTTAAAGGAAGTATTGCTTTGAGTTTTTTGTTGATGTTTTTGTTGTTGTTGTACTTTTATTGCCACCACCTGAGTCCAGTGGTCAATGCACGCTAGTCGAAGTCGGCTCAAACCCAAACCTAAGATGGCATCGATTTCCACGGCTAGCCGAGGCACATATATGTATATTAATATATGTATAACCGTATACACAGGCAACTGAATGTACAATAGCTTATCAAATAATATTAGGTGAAATGCTCATTCAATTTATTAATAAATAAATAAATTTTGAGTTAAATGACTTAAAACCATTTTGTGATTTAGTGACACTTTTTTTAAAGAAGATAATAATTGTATGTATATATTTGCAATGTGTTTCAAGACGATTAATAATTGTATGTATATATTTACAATGTACTTCAAGACGATTAATGGATTGCATATGACGATTATGATTTCAGTTTGTTTTTCTTGTCGAGCGACTACTGTATTATTATAATTTCTTAATAATAAGCTTCTCGTATTTGTCGGCTTTAATGGCGCGCTTGCATGCGGCATAGGCTTCCTTTAATAATTATTCAATTTCTGGCTTGTTACATACTATTTTTTGTTTAACGTTAAAACAATATATGCTGAGAGTATCTTGTCAATAAATTCTTAAAAGCTTTTGCAGAAAATGCTGCAAACGAAGGTCACCTCCATATAGTATAACTACTTATAGACAAAACAGCTGCCCGAGATAAAAATCGATACGCTTGAAGAAAAAAAATGCACTTGCTTCGTTTTGTTGGCAGTCAAGGCACTGTGAAGTGGACCGGCACGCCTTTAAAGGCGCGTTATGGAAAAATATACATATGTCTACCGTTCCTGGCCATTACTCACCCTGCGCTCATCATGGGCAGATACGTGGATGTGGAATCCACGGTGCGTATGGTTGTATTGCCACGCAGCACAATCTTTTCGCGTGTGGTGCGCCTGTACGTCTCCTCGCCGCGCATTGTTGCACTTTCAAATTTTCACAAACTAACCAAAATAGTTGTACAAGTTTTCACAATTTTGCTCTATTTCTTTTTTAATTTTCACTTGTTTACTTTTGGCCAAAAATCGAATGTGTTGAAAAATTTTGCGTCTGCTCTTCCCGCAGGCAAAGTCGAAATGAGCTGAGAGCGAACGGAAGCGGATGCTGTGCGACAACAGCCTTTGCTCACAATCACTGCTGTGCTGCTCTCTCTTCGACTCTCTTCGTTCTGCTCTCGGCTGGCGAATTGCGCAACTTTACAAGTGCAGCGTGGCAGTAATGTTGCTCTTTGTGCCACACTGCACCAATGGCCACTAACTGGCCACTAACTGTTGTTGGCTGTTGGTCAGCAGCATTGAATGTTTGGCCAAAAGTCAGCTGGCGAACCTTGTTCAAATTGGGGGATGTTTGGCAAGTGCATACGAAGAGTATGAATTCATAACAATTACAGTTGGCATATTTAAAGAGGCAACTTTATCATAGTTATACTAACTATAAGCTTTCAAAAATAGATATTGATATTGATCTTGTTATTCGTTAGCTATTAATATAATAATATGGATATTATGTCTGGAAAAGCTTAGATAACTAAAATTAGAAGCAGGGCAGCCTTGCATCTACTTGTTGTTGCATGCTGTCATTGGGCAGACAATACTAGTATACTAGTATTATACTAGTGTTGTCTGCTTAGCAATACTGCAAATGAAGTTTTAAAATGAAAACAAATTAGAATGTTCCCTGGAGTGGTGGGGATAATAAAAAGATACAAGTTATATAGCAGAGCGCGTAGGCCACTACAATATGTATAGTAGGCCGATTTTGGAAGTCTTTCCCAATATGCAAACACAGCTTAATTGTTATTAAAGAATGAAAGATGATTTTTTTTATACTTCGATATGAAAAAGTACTATTGTATATTGGCTTTGTGCAATGTTCGTCATGTCCGTAACTTTTATCGACACCGTTAGAGATAGGCACTTGAAACTTGGAACATATACTATATACGAGTGTCTCACAGCTCATTAGGACCAGTATATATAAATCTAAAAATTTGAGTGCTACGTCCACTAGGGGACTAGGAAATCGATTAAATCGATATTCGCGAATAGATAAAGCCTCATAAATCCCACAATTTTAAGGCTAAGGTACCATATTTGGTTGGTAGGTTGTGGTCGATGGCCTTCAAAGATTGGCATATGCCACTTGCAAGGTAACTTGCAGGTAACGCCCACACCCGTAGTCTCCAGGAACTTCTGCCCTAGAAACCTGAAATGGTCATATCTTCTACAACTTGTAAGCTAGAGTCACCAAATTTTAAAAGTATGTTACTAGTAACTCCCTAAGAGACCAACCGATACACATATTAATGTAAATCGATAGGACCATATATCTCACACACTTTGAAAGTTAGAGTCATCAAATTTGAAATGTATATTGCTGGAATACCCTTGAAAAATCTGAGAAAACATTTGGGATCACACCCACTTCCTCCCCCAAAAACGATAAATGCCTATATCTCTCACAATTTAAGAGCTAGATGTACCAAAGTTAGAAGGCAGATAACTAAAAACGTCCTGCAAATTTTGTTTGGCCACGCCCACTCCTGCCTCCAATCCTCCCACAATTTATGAGGTACACTTACCAAACTTAGAGAGAAGAATTTAAGAACTATAGTTACCAAACTTGTAAGGAAGGATGCTAGGAAACTCTTCCAACAATTTTTTTGCCAAACCCACGCCCGCCCCAAAATTTGCAAAAGCCTATTTCTACCGCAATTTAAAAGGCAAACTTGGACGGTACCCTGTTATTAGCTGGAATTACTTATGGTATCAAAGTATTTCGCAGTCCTTACGCCAGACTGCAACGTTCCATCTTGTTGTAATTGAAGTTGTGAGTCAACGCATATTCTTATTCATCTATGCATCAGATATTTATATATGCATAATACTCCTTTTACCCATTTTATTTTATGTATGAATTGAATACTAGATATTTAACCCACTCAGAAGAACAAATATATATGCATCTTTATTGATCGATTTTAAAAGACTACTTATAAATTCTGATAGTGAATGAAAATTCGAAAAACACTTTTAACATTGGTGAAATTTTTGATAGATTTCACATATTTTTGTATTTTCAAATTATTAATGATCAGAACATGAACTTTGCTTAAACACTCATATTGCATTTGAATAAAAGTAATCGTAAAATATTTTGGGGCAGTTTACAAAATAAATTATACACAGACTCACAATAATTTGTATGATTGTGCAGTGTACATTTGTAATAAAATTATGAAAAACCAAAACGCAATATAAACCATTTCGAAAATTATTTAAAAACTAATAGTTTCAAATGTATTTATCCATTGTATATGTATATACCAATATAGACATACATTCATAAGTATTTTAATAAGTATATTAACCGTTTCTAACAAACACGAGGCACGTCGAAATGTAAGTAGACCACAAAAAAGAATATTTAGTTTATATCTTGTTGTTGTTTTGTTTCCTTTTTCATTTGGGAAAATTGGTGGCTTCGGTTGCTTTCTTGTCGACTCGACTTAATAAGGTTGCATGTGTATCGTATGTAAATAGATAATTCTTTATAGCTTTACCATTTTGAACGTTTGAACTTTAACAATAACTTTAACGTTTGTATTTGGTTTTTTTTTCTTTTTTTTCTGAAAATATTTTGTCTGACTGTACTAAAAATGTGCATTAATCTAAGAGCTGGATTATTCTTTCGCTTTTGTGCACTAGATAGTTAGATTTGTTTTTTTTTTATTTTTCGATATTTACTTCAAATTATTTACAACTAGCCCTACAGCTTCTTGCTCTGACATTTTACTAATTTTGGCGAGTATTTAGTGCGACTCAACTGAATTACTGCATTTTGCGTCCCGTGCGTGCCTTCCAGGCCTTGACTAGATTATACGCGAAGTACAGAGTGAAGCCGTGTATTTGGAAGCCCAATAAACAGAAGGCATACCAGAATAAGGCATAGGGGAATCCCTGAAATATATCAATGAAAGCAGATTAGTTTGTTTTTGAGTGAGCGTTATATGGTTTACTTACGCGCCATACAAAAATGTCCGTTTCGTCCAAATCCACGGACTTGTCCATGGTGACAAATTCCCATATGTCGGCAAAGTAGTAGGCGAAACAATAAAGCAGCGGGAGCACAGCCATTACCAAAATGGCAATCATATATTTTTGCATATCTCGCACCTTATTGCCACGTGCCGCTGACAGACCCAGAAACGAGGTGAGCAGCGAGCCGGCCCAAACGTATTCCCACCATAGCGGCGGCGGCACCTCCAACTCTTCGATTTCTAGCACAAATATATCCAAGCGATCCAATATGTCCGACATTAGTTTCGCCAGCATGACGAAAAAGAGCAGGGCATGAAAGAAAATGCAGTACTTCAGGCGTGATTTGTTCAACAAGCTGCAGAAAAAGAGAAATTAATGGTTGAGTCTTTTTTAGTTGCGTCTCCTTTTGTTTGGTAGGCCTCGGCCTTTGGCCATCCAAAATATGTACACAAACAATGTAGTTGTTGCTGTTGTTGCCACTGTAAACAGGCACACATGCTGAGAGTGTCTAGCTGGCACTTTGCCCACCCACTCTGGTGCTGGCGCTGCCTGCCTGCAATTGCTGGCTGGCTGGCTGACAGTTTGTCTGGCTCATGCACCGTATGCGGCGGGAGTTGCAAATTCACTGCTGTTAGATGCGGAGTCATGACCTTTTAGCCGTGCAGTTGCATCTACTTGTAAGTAATTAGATAATTTTGCGGTGGTTTAGAAAGTGTTATTAACCTAATTTGATATGTGTTTGCCACTTTCTGCCTGAACTCGAAGTCGTTGCCATCGGTGCCCGCGACCATTGGACCGCCGCGACTTGCCATTTTGGTGCGACAATTCGATGCCGGTCTTTAGAGAGATTTTTCAACTATTTTAAATAAACTATAACTGTCTTCGAATTACTTCTCACAACATTTGCACGGACGATAGATGTGGCGGTCGGGCGATTACAGCAGTGTTGATGACTCGAGACTAGTATTGGTCAACACCAACACCAAGACCCATGTAACCCCATATCGATATTTTATACTATTTGTGGTGGTTGGTAGATAAGTACTGACAGTGTTGGAAGGCGCTAACTTATTTGAAATAGGCTAAATTACCGACTACTACGAAGTCACAATTTATCTGTAAGATTAGCATAATTAAGTACACTTTCATATGCAAATATGGTCTTTAATGAGCCTAAATTTGGTCAGTGGACATTTAGGGGCCTTGAACTGGAGTCCATTGGTGACGCAACTGCGTCACAGCCACCTGTTGCTTGTTTGCATTTCAATCCATAAATCAATTCACGAAAGCAAAACAATGAAGAGTGCAACGAGCGCAGATTTAAAAATAAAATTGTACATCAAATACATACTTATTTTTACATTTTGTGCTGTGCCTTCTCTTTTTGCCTTCAGCTCATTGAACGCTTTATGCTCGCTGGGCTACAAAAGACGAGGCGACTGTTAAGTGCCATCAGTTCTACGTCGGTATTCTTTAGCACAACGTCTTGGCGTTTATCGCATGCGATCGGCAACGGGCTTTTTAAATAGCATTCTTTTAATGCCAGTTATTGATAACTATCGCCTAATATTTTATGCAGAGATAGGCAGCTGAGTTGCCAACAACCATATGTAGTTGTGTTCTTGGTTTGTGTGTGTCTTGCTAAACGGTAATACTTCTTGTGTTTGTTTGCATCGCGCAGTTTGTTTTGCATATTTCATTATATTAATGTGTGCACATACATGTATTTCATATATGCCTTTGGTTGTCAGTGTATTTTGCGGATATTGTGCCCAAATTTTTAATTATTTTTAAAAATATTTTTCAACACCATCGGTCGCTGCACCTGCGTCGACATCCGCTTACCATTATTTTGTTTTGGCACGTGGTTTTTCATTTTCTTGCATCTTGGCAACAAATATCAGAACATATTATAGAGCAAAATATTGAACAATATGTGAATTCTTGTTTGAGTTTTATAACCTTGAGAGGATGTGTTGCTTACTATTTTTGTATTATTTATTATTGCCATCGATCACATGCTTTAGATACCAGTAAACAGCCTTAATATTAATAGTGACAAATCGAATACTATCTGCCTCATTACTTCTTTGTCTCTTTGCAGCTCCTCTCCCGCCTGGCGTCCGTACAGTTGAATTGAGAAAAAAATAAAACAAAGAAAATCAAACGAATCCCAAGTGTGTTCATACCCTAGATTAAATCATGTCTGCCCTTGCCGCCGATAAACGCGCCTCCTTTGCGCGACGCGCCGAAAGCTTAGTGGAGCGGGTGAGAGTTATGAATACCATTTATGAGGTAATCGGTATCAAGTGACCAAAATGCGTGAGATATAACAATTTGTTTGTTATACTTATAAGTTGTTGTTGTGGCTCGCTTGCATGGTTGTTTGCCGCTCAATTGAAATTTATTTGCAATTAATTACATTCGAGTTGGACAATCATTGCTTGGCCAGGTCTCCAACATATTACCTCAACATTCAACTATCACTTTGTATAAAACAAAATATTTAACATGAAGTGTTAGTCGATATTTATATACACAAGCTTGTATATATTTTATATCAATATATATTTATATATACATACCGGGTGTGGGTGTAAGCCAATAATGAATGTAGAAACATTCAGAAGTGTTTATTTGACTTGGCTCGCTGCCCTGGCTTCGGTATGCCCCGTCAATTAATCTCTTATACCGATACAAACAAATACTATATATGAACACTTAGCAAAAAAGTATAAGTTGAAATGATTTCATTTTTCTTCAAGATATGGAATATATTTGTTTAAAATCAAGTATATAATATATTTTTTGACGAATATACAAATATATATATTATGTTCACTGAAACCTATAATAGTACAAATATATACACATCAGTACAACATTATCTATTCTATTTATATTTTGATTTATTTTATTATTTTTCTGAGTGCATGTACAATATTATATACTATGTCCATCATGCACTTGGCTGACTTTTATTGCAACAACAATTAGTGGCGCGTATTAAATATAATAAAATGAAGGACTGAACTTGTTTGTTGATATAAAAAGTGTTTGCCTCTCGTTGTTGATGTTGATTTGTGCTCAAATTCTTCAGAATTATTTGCTTTTGACGAATACATTCCACATATTTCTTTAATAACCTCTGAAATAAACATAATGCTCTCCGTTTGTTGCGTTAAAAAGTCGATGTACGCACTTTTCGGTCGAGCTAAAAATAAATCTTTGAAATTGCAAATAGCTCGTCGGTTTGGCTGCTTATTTTTGCAAAATAAATGCTTCTTTATCAGACTCTTGACTCAGACGCTCTTGCTGTGGCATCAATTGAATGAAGAGTGGGTAGTTACATCAAAGTACATACAAATATGTACATACAGCTATAAACAGTCGCAGCATTAATTAAGCGGGTGAAGCCACAGAAAAAAGTACATACATACATACATACTGCTTGCCAATGACCGACCATTTAATTTGTTTTGTACAACTGAACATTTAATTGAACGCCAAATTGAGGGTGGCAAACCGGGGCAGTTCATAAGTTCCGCTTGAAAATTGGGAATGTTTTGTCAAATTTAATGCTTATGCAATAGTAATCTATATTTACATTACTGAGAAAATATTTTGTATAAAAATCTATTTCATGTGGCTATTGTTGAGTTTTAAATTATATACTCTTACTGAAATGTTAGTATAAGCCTTAAAGTTAGCAAATCGCAATTTGTTTAATGATCAAGTATTATGTATCAATCAATTTGCATTAACTTGGCTTAGATTTGCTCACCCTCCAAAGCTTAAACGATGTGAATGTCTTTATCAGGCTAGCATATTTATCTTATCAAAAAGAGCGACGCAAATAAAAGGAATTGCTTTGGATGCGTAAGAGAGACACGAGAACAAATGAAAAGGAGAACACAACGAGCAAAATAAATGAACGATAAAAAGCTAATAAAGTGCAACATAAATAAATGCGTGCGTAAATATCGCGTGAATACATCGAGCAAATGAATTTGACATTGGGCAGCGAGGAATGGTTTGGTGGAAACCCGAGGCACCTAACTTGATTGCCTAGCAGAATTTTGCTGTTCTTCTTGCTGCCATCCTTCGTTGTCATGGCACGTGTGCTTGTATTGGCGTTCGGGCTTAAAGCGTTTTCTGTTTTTACCCAGTCCATTTTGCGTGTGTGTGCGTGTTTTCGTGTTTAGTTATCTATAAATAATTCAGTTTTGAAAGCCATGCACTTGAATTTGTCCCGGGGACACATTTAAAAGCATTATATTTCACTCAAGAAATAATCGATTTGTTTCAATTTTATGTCTGTCGATATTTGAGCCACACAGATTGTTCCGGGTGCGTGCCCACGGAAATTTAAAGTGGGCTGTGGCATTTTACTTAACTTATATTCAGCTTAAACTTCAAGTTATGTTAGTTATATAAAACATTTAGCATAAGGAGAATATATTGTGTTAAATTAAATTTCTGTTATAGGTTGACACTTATACATTTTATAGAAAGAACATATTATATTTGTTTGCTTAAATCCATTTGTATCAATATTTAACATGCCACACAATATTGGCTTAGCCTTGTTTGCCATTTATATAGAAAACAGTTTCTCATGTTTTTGTTTTTGATGCTCTCATACATAAATATTATTTTAGTATTTATTTTTTTATTGCCTGCTGTTGTTGCTGTATTTTTGCTATTGACAAAGCTCAAAGCCAATTTAAATCGCATAACAATGTGCAAATGAAAGCGGATTAAAGAGCATGTTGTCTATATACCGCATTTTTCGACTTTATTGCGCAGCATTTTTACCAAGCATAGAAAGTCAGGCGACTACCAGTTAAAGCCAAATGAAATGTTTTAATTTCAATTTAATTAAACAAAAAGCGAAAGTGGTTGAAAGCTGGATAAGGAATGGCGTGTGATAAGAGGCACAATGCGAGACAGACTAAGAAATTAAGAAAGTGAGAACGATTGCTTTTGTAGACCGTGCTTAACTAGAGGACACCCTAATTTACATTTCGACAAGAATAAATATTTATAAGCATCTACGATATATAACTCAAATTATAAGTATTATGCTGCATAATTTGTATGCAAATTAAACAGGCGACAAATGCTAAAAGATTGTCTGAAATTTTATTACCCTTTGGTACTCTAGTCTGTAAGATCCGATTATGAAGTTCAAAAATGTATGCGACTAAGCGTTTGCATAAATTTGTATAACATTATTATACCCCTTTTAATACGGTTATGATGGATATAGGGTATCAGAAAGTGAAAGCATAACCACAGCAGTTGCTGCACACACATAAAGAATAAATTAACAGCAACAGCAACAATGTCAGCTACAATTGCCCGGGCAGGTGCGCAAAGCAAACAAACAACAAGAAGAACAATGACTAGAAGGGGAACAGCTACAACTAGTACATGGCGATTTATATGCACAGGCAAAAGGCGGAAAAAACAAAATAGAATAGGCACGTTACTTAAGCCATGGGCGTGAGGCGTGGCAAGGGCGTGACAATAAGTCAAAGCAGACAACAAACGACAAACAATGGCACAAAGTTGCCAGAAGCTGTGCATATCATACTTTAAGGCGCAAATTCTACAAAAACAATGTAGAGCCCGTAAGCCACTTGCCAAAGACAACACGCTGCGTCGACGGAGTGGGCGTGGCATTGTCTGTACTTTTTGAATAGGTATGGAAATGAGTGACAGATAATACAAGAAGTACTAAGCGAAACAATCTACAGTAAAACAACTTTATAAGTATGTTAAATAAGATTGAGATTGAGTGTTTGTTGATTGACTTGGGTTAAATTGCGAAATTCTTTAGTCAAAGGTTTTGATAGGGGAAACCGCCTTTCTATTATCCGCTTATTGCTACAAAAGTTGCTCTTTCGTGGAGCAGACGAACGAAGGCTAAAACAGCAGCTTTAGCTTAACTTGTCAATGTAGTCAATATCTCATTTAATAATGTCGACCTTTCACTCACATCAAACTGATTATGTATTCAGAACTTTGTCAGCAACATCTTTAAATTATCTTATTTATTATCTAACTCGAATGACACAACATATTATGCTTAATGTTCATACTGGTAACGTCATCTAGTTGCCAGTTTTATAACTTGTTTAGATCCCATTGAAGTTTTCCATTGTAATTTGAATTTTTATATGGCACAACCAACCCCTGGTTGAACAAGTCTGTCGCATTTTTATGCAGTTCGGAATTTCACTGCGTCGACAAAAAATTTTTGTGCTGTGTCAGAGCGAAATAAAATAAAAAAAAGAAACTCATCAGACTTATGGCCCTGCTCATTGACAGCCGTGATATTCGTAGTTGGACGTGAGCAGCATTCGTATTTACATTCACATTTGTATTCGTCAGTATTCATCATGATTATCAACATCATTATTTTTTCAGAATTTTTCCAGCATTGTTTTTAGCTAGAAGGCATATTTTTTGTATATACATATAATATGCATTTGTTAATAGTTATTCTTTTCATTTTTTTTTTTGTTTAGGCTATGTATTTTTAACGAAATGCACTTTTCAACTGCCATTGTTGTCCGATATGACAGTAGCAGGTGCCTGGGGGTTGACATTGCTGTCATTTTCTGGCTTGACCTACGCCACGCAAATTCTAAATGCGCAAATCTTATATTTTCTCTGGGGAGTTGGGGAATATAAGGGTGGCTAGGCTGCCAACTGGAAAAATGAATGGCAATGGCGGTCGCACATTTTTCCTGCGAGCTGGCAAATTAGCGCATCAAAACAAAAAGTCGCTCAGAACGAACAGACAACATAACAATATAACCAAGAATGAAAACTAAAACCAATGGAATTTTGTGTATAAGCCCACACAAATTCTGCACACACAGATACATACACTCACATACACACACACACACACAGACACACAGACATATACACGATACGAGCCCAACGACACATACACTTTCATTGGGTGTACGGAAGCGCGGCGCTCGCAAGTAGGCAACGATATTTTGCAATGTGATTTGATAATACGCACGGACAGCACAGCGTTGCCAGATTGCGAAAATCATTAAATGCAAATGACAAATGAGACTTGATAATGAAGCGTCAGCTAAATTGAGATGGATTGACATGAATGCATCCGGTAATTGCTGAATTTGTAATTGAATTGAACTGTGGTTTACTTTAATCAACGAAAATTTACAAAAGGCTGGAATTGTTTCGCTTCTATAATTATGTATACTAAAAATGGGAGTCCTTATGAATTATTTGTACGCCAATATAGT